GGTACTCATTTCTGTTAGAGGCTGAGTCGACCACAGGGCCATAGTGCGGCTGGAAGGATTAGGTGAATTAAAAAATCCACCTCATCGGGACTCGAACCAGCGACATTTCGGCTTGAAGCATAGTTATTGTGATACATTTTGAAATGAGACTCCTTAAATTTTTTGGTAAAAATCCTGTAATATTCTGCAGTCTAGTTACGAGTTTTCTTGTTTTGATCTTAGAACCGTGGGCCATGTATGGCACGTGAACCTCTTACAAGACATAACAAATGTTGCCAGAATTTTATGATAAGCAGGTTACTACACTCCGTACTGTTCGAGAACTGAAAAAACTATCCCCGTTGACACTTGCAATGGACACCCCACGTCATGAAAGCGAGATGAATGATCAGGTTTCAGCTTTGGCAGTTTATCCTTGGGGAAAGAAAGCCTGTATCTATATCATAAGAGGCTGGGTGGTTCCGCAGACATTCTGAACAAAGTATTAGCGAAAACCTTTGATAAACAATTCCAAGCAGGCCTGGAAGTATCTAGGGATCAGTCCAGAGTTCAGCATTAAAAATAAACTAGATTATAAAACGGGCTACACATCTAAACTAGACTATAAAACGGGCTACACATCAGTTCACCTAGACCTAGCGTCATATTCACCGGGTTAACTTTCGCATGTCTTAAACGTGAATAAGCTTGTAAATTATACAGCGTACGGCTAACAGGCCTGTTCGACAGAAGGGATGGTATGCTAATGCCAGTTCTTGTAATTATACTTACTTACTTACTTACTTACTTACTTATGGAGTTAGCCTTTCTCGAGAAGCCGCCAATTCCGCAGCCACTCAAGAATTTCCCAGCATTTTATGGAACCCGGAGGTTCATTACCGTGTTCACAAGAGCCCTCCACTGGTCTCTATCCTGAGCGAGATCAATCCAATCCATCCCATCATATCTAAGATCCATTTTAATATTGTCCATCAACCTACGCCTTGGTCTTCCCTGTGGTTTATTTCCTTCTGGTTTTCCCACCAATATCCTATATGCATTTCTCGCCTCCCCAATTCGTGCTACATGCCCTGTCCACCTCATCCTCCTTGACTTGATCATTCTAATTATACTTGGAGAAGAGTATAAGTTATTAAGCTCCTCATTATGCAGTTTTTTCCAACTTCCTGTCACTTCATCTCTCTTCGGTCCAAATATTCTCCTCAACACCCTCAGAGAGAGGCCAAATTTCACACCCATACAGAACCACCGGCAAAATTATAGTTTTCTGAATTCTACTGAATGATAGCAAGCATTACCCGAGTTCAGTCTCCTCTTAATTTCCTCCTGAATCAGGTTTTGATTTGTTATCGTCGTTCCCAAATATCTGAACTGTGCCATATTTTCAAAACATCTGTTTCCTATCTTTATATCACGATTTTGACCTGTGTTTTGGTGACGAGACAACAACAAATACTTAGTTTTCTCTGTGTTTACTTCTAGACCAACCTCCTTACTTGCGTCAATTAAAGTTTGTGTGTTTTTCTTTATGATATCTACATTATCACCCAGTAGATTCACATCATCGGCACAGACCAACAGCTGATGTGTCCCGTTAATTTCAGTCCAACCTGGTTTCTCTGGACCTTCCTAATGGCATATTCTAAAGCAAAGATGCAAAGGAGTAGCGATAAAGCATCTCCTTGTCTTAGACCATTCTGGGTGTTCTTCTAATTATAACAAATAAAAATGTAGTTAATATGATAAAGGGAAATGATATTTTGTACTTCCGGTATTTTAGTAAGGATTGGAGAGAGGTCAAATACACGAGTATAATCTGAAAATTACGTAAATCACAGGACACGGAGTGCGTTACCCGAACTAACAAATCAAGTTTCTCGCTTTACCTGGCGTTTAAATCCCTGAAACACTGCAACATCTACCGCTCGAATATTGCTGTATAAACGGTTTACCGATCAACTTGTCGTTTCTCCGATTCTATAACAGTCAAAACTTTATGTATGTAATACAAGGTTGTCGCCGTGATTCAAATCCCGCGTTACGCTGTAGGGCTGCTATTCGTCTTCAGTATCAACCTGTCATCAACAGTAAAACTGAAATCTAGCCCTGGATGTCACCATCCTTTGCCCTTGCTTAAAGAGTTGGTGCCAGGGTGGTTAAAGATAATATATGGAAGCATGATACGTACATAAAAACTGAACGTAAAGACAATGTTCTTAATCTTCCGCGTCATGAACACAGTAACTCCATGCAGCAAGAGCTCTCCTTGAGAACCTGAGAGCAGATCTTCAGATGATGAAAAATTCTCCGAGTATTATGGACTCTAAAGAAGCATTATTGTATCCATAAGAGCCCACCACTGGAACCTATCCTGAGCCAGTCAATCCAGCCACACCTTAGCATTTTATTTTAATATTATCACGTGTTGGAGTGACTACAGAAGCGGGTTTGGATTGGTGAATCGATTTATTGGCCACTTACAGGTCGTAACTACAATTAATTATAACACTCTACTGTAATTATAACACAAATAAAATCTTCTATATCTGCTTGCACTAGTCATTAGGAAAGCGATCTCAACTATGGCTAAGCCTTGACGATGTTTTCACCATTCGTTTCCTGTCAATGGATTTTACACAGGAATTATAAAAGTCTCACTTAATCACACTCCCAATATCACCGTACTGTAGATCAGACATCACCAATATAAAATTTAATCAGAATTTGTTAGTTACTTTGGGGGAGCAAATATTATGATGGGTATATATGTATTATCTGTTCATTTTATACATTTCGTGAAAAGAACATGCAAGAATTAAAAAAAGCCAAGAACACGGACGCACCTTTCACGGAGCAACGAATTGAGACGTGTTGATGTAAGTCACTTTGAATAAAGGCGACGTTACTTATGGACATTAAAAATATCTCCCGTCTGTCCGACTTTCCGGGGGGGGGGGATTTAAAACTGTAAATCTGTCATCATTACAACTGTTTACTAGTTTCTTGGTTTATCTGACGATGCCGTATTAAATGAGTTGGTCGTGTAGACCTGAATGAGAAATGAGACAATGAACACGAATGGTGCCTTGGGAATGATACGGGAGGAAAGAGGTGTGGCCTATTTTAGGGTACTATTCATCATGCAGAAGAAGCTACGAAAAAACTTAGACAGGATATGTAGTCTCGAGACCGACATAAACAAACGAAAGGAGCGAAAAAAAGAAAGAAAGTAAAGGATAAAATTTCTCGAACATAAAATAGAAGAACTAATCGCTACATTACGAAATATTTACTATCTTGCACAGTTGTTTTGCAATTATTCAGCATTTCATACGCTCCACTAATTCTGGTTCAGTTGATCCTGGTTTAAATTCGGTCAAGGTCTATTTAGTAGTTTATTTTATGATCATAGATCGACTGCAGATGCTTTTGGCGCTGAAAGCGACGGAAAGGTAAGGGAAGGAGTAGATCATGGCCTAAATTTAAATACGTGCAATATCTCCAGTCTATCGATAGGGAAACCGAAATTAACTAATAATGAGTGTAGTCATAACTTGTACTCTTCGCCAAATATAATTAGAATCTTCAAGTCAAGGAGGATCGGCAGGACAGGACATGTAGCACGAATAGGGAAGAAGAGGAATGCATATGGGATATTGGTGTGAAAGTCAGAAGGAAAGAAATAAGTAAGAAGACCAAGACGTAGGTGGGTGGACAATGTTAAAATGGATCTTAGACAGATACAACGGTGTGGTATGGACTCGATCGATTTGGCTCAGGATAGGGACCAGTGGAGAACTCTTGTGATCACGGTAATCAAACTTTGGGTTCCGTAAAATGCTGGGAAGTTCCTGAGTAGCTGCATAATTGGCGACTTCTCAAAATGGGCTCACTCCATGAGTGAGTGAGAGTAGCAGTGGCGGCTCGTAGCTAAAATTAGTGGGGGTGCTGCTCCAGAAGCGCACAGTTCCATACAAAGATTTGGCTACTGACATTAAGCTTAAGGATTATATATTGTATTGTACAAGTATAAAGAAAGAATTAAAGAAAAAAGGACTCATTATATAAATGTTATCGATAGTATCAAGTGGAAATTGGGGGCGCTGCAGTTCCGCAGTCCCTATACACGGGCCGCCCTGGAGAATAGTCTGTATTTTCTTTTCACTTAATTTTGGGATTATTTACTAATCATAAATCTGCAGTTTATCATTCGAAATTATAGATCCTTTGAGGTATATAAAGCCTACCTTATGCAGTTCAAGAATTGTCATGTAATAAACCAGATAAGAGATCATAATAGACTTCTCAGAATTCCCGCTTCACATTCTACCGGTTCTGAGTTCAAATCCCATCTCAGAGGCCCGTAATCCAGACTGAGACTTTGTTTCTTCTATTGAATTCTCCCAGACAAGTGCTGAGATAGTATCTTAACAAGGCGACATTCATTCCAATTCACAATTCTTTATCAATATAATCCTTGCTGCTGAAAAGTGCCCGTAACAGCCCAAGAATATAGCAAATAAAACAAAAGACGAGCACATAAAGCAAAAAATCAGTGTCAGCACCAAATGTCGCTTGCAATGGCAACGCCATCTTGTCCACTGAAAGCTTGTGTGACTATGAATATTTGCTTCTGCAAAATAAACGTGAAATCTATTAACATTTACTATTCTAATGGGTATTTAAACTAACAAAATTGACGGACATATGGATATGGCCATTTTATTATTTGTTTACATCATGCACCGATTCAAATAACGCATATAACTTATATTACGTCTGTCTCTATTCAGGCTGTTGTGAAGATTATCAAATAATGACAGCAGAACTACTCTCTCTCTCTTGTAAACCGCGCTGACCTGTTGGAAACAAGTCAAGCGGCTGGGTTTGTGAGTTCACTGTCTGTTCCTCTCCCCCCCCATACCTGGAGCCCCGGGCCTCAACTTGAAGTCCATATATAAGACAAGGGCAATGGCCATCACTAGTCACTTCATATACAGTCCTTCCGCAGCTCGATACAAAAAGCCAGAAGCGTTAAGAACAGGTAAGTGATGATAGGATTTCATCTTGAGAAGCTTAAAACAAAAGCGTAAAGTTGTGAGATTTGACGTTTTCACGGAGGCGACTATGAAGTATACTTTCGTCTAAGATGTGACGCCGTGCAGTCTGTTTATCGACGTTTCGGAGGAACTCGCTGTCTCCATTGGCTAGACTACACGACGTCAAATACATTACATATTCTTAGACTGAGCAAGCTGACAGAGGTAATGATGTTTCTGACTTGTATTTGGGAGGTCACTGGTTCGAATCTCGAAATTTGTTGTAGTTTGATTTGAGCTCCATGGCAAATATGTGGACTGATATGAAGCAAAATTTAATAAACTAGAAAACTTTTGGGTATATTCCGAACAACAAACTTACTCAAAATCAGTAAGTCTGAATGTGAAATGTGCGGACAGACATAATCTTCTCATTATGTGTTCATGTCATGGAGTATGCACAGACTGCATGAAAATCATGTGGAAGGGGTGATACTATGCAAGTATCCTTCTTATTACTGATCAAGTTAAAATTCTACTGAAAACCAATGGTAAAATGAACATATTAATTCCATCTCACACATGTTATATCTAATTCAAAAGAATATCACAGAATATCAAAAATGTATGAAAATAAAAGACTGTTCGGTCAAACTGAACGACTGCTTTTGTTGGATACAACATTTTACACAGTTCTTGCACTCTTGGTTGCAAGATGTCAATGATCGAAATTTTGTTCCTAGCACAAAAAGCTCAAGACATACATCATGACTTTTATATTAGGATTTCAAATACAGGATTAATGTACCTGCCAGGTTTTTATCAGACCTTCCAGCACCATCCTGGAAGCTATTCCAAAAGAGATAGTCTAGCTGCTTCCCTTCATACTAATATCCAAACACAGCCTCTAGTTGATATAAAAAATATTCATGGTGCATAATCTTCTGCTAAAACCTGACAGTTACTCAGTTGGTCAAGAAATTCTCTTATGGAATCAAATGAGCATCTACATATTATCAAAAGTCTACCACTGGTTCCTACCCTGTAACACTTAAATTCAGTCTGCCCCATCACATCCTAGTTCTTTAAGATTTATTTTAATATAGTCCTAAAATCTCCATATAAATCTACCAAGCGATCATTTCGCGGGAAGTTTTCTCTTCTAAATTTGGAATACATTTTCCATTGTCCTTATGTATGCTACATGTCCAGCCAATCCCATCCTTCTTGATTTAATCACCCCAGTGATATTAGGTGGAGTAAAAATTATGAAGTTTCTCAATATATAATGTTCCACAGTCACTTAATACTTATATCTCTTAGGTTCAAACATCCTACATTACGCTTTGTTCTCAACACTCTCAATATATATGCTTGGTCTGTCACTCTGAGAAAGCGTTGAAGCAGAATGGAGGAAATTACAAAATGAAGAGCTTCATAATTCTGACCTAATATTAATAGGGCTATGAAATCATGAAGGATGAGATGGGTGGGTCATGCAGCATAATTAGGCAAAATGAGAAGCAAACACTAAATACTAGTCAGAACACCTCATGGGAAGAGACTGCCTGGAAGACCTTGACATAGATGAGTGGATACTATTAAAATGGATCTTAAACACAATGTGAGGGTATGGTCTGGATTAAAATAGCTCAGGATATGACCTAATCGCATTAAATATGATAATAAACTTTGTGTTCCTTAAAAGCAGTGCATTTTGAATGGCTGAGTAACTGTCAAATTTTCAAGCAAGATCACAGACACTGAAGTGAATTGTTTGGTACAACGGTTGACATAGCAAAACTAACTAGCCCAATGTGATGGCTTACAATTACAGAATGTGTGGGCTGTGGCTATTAACTCTGCTGAGTTCTGCACTTATAGTTACTGCACAGCTCCCAAGTTTCTGGGGCTGTCCAGAAAAGAACATCCCTATGCCAGACTTTGACTTGTCAAGAGTAAGTAAGTTTATTTAATTGTATAGAAGTTGATAGAAGTTGACTGTGTGTTTGAAGCACACTTTGCCAGACAACAATTATTCTTTCACACTTCTAATTCCAGGAATCATAGTAAAGAACAAAATCACTGAACAAAGAAGAAATACATTTCAATAATGCATTTTGTGTAACATTCTTGTGCTCACATCCACTAGTACCATTCTATATTCTGACAATCAGACATATTCTTCAGTAATATATGTAAATAGGTTTAATACACTTGTAATTAATCTCTTTAAAGATTTACTAGATGGATAGTTAAATTTTTTATCACCATTCAGTGATGATCATGATGCTCCACTGCTGTGAGGGATCTGCCAGTTTTATGGCACTCAGACTGAAGATAAACTAGACATTCTGTATAAAATATATAATTAAAATTACAGTTTTTGGGTGTATGGTATGAGATACTGAGGGTGCCTACACTGATGGAGGTTGGTGCTTCATGTGTCAAGAATAACTATACACAGACAGCTGATGGAAAGATACATGTCGAGAACGAACTAAAGCCACTGTAAGTTATATTATAAATAAGAGTACAATAGTGTGCTTGAAGTTGGATCTGACTTTGTAGCAAGCATGTGTTCCAAATGTATTCTGAGCTATAAGTACTATATACACGTAGTTCTTCTGAGTTTGAATTACCACCAAAAAGCAAAAATGATATAAATTGATGGATGTTGGACATATTTTAGAAGAATCGATTCAGGAAGGACGTAAAATGTATTCTGTGTCCAGAAGCTCATGAATTCTATTTGGAATAAGGTACAATTTCCATAGCAGTGGAAAGTATGTATTATTATATGATTCCTAATATAGCCGATAAAACTAATTGCAGTAATTATTAGGGAATACCACTGTTATCATTCATTCTTCTCTCAAGGTTAACTCCATACACAGAAGCAATTCTTGGGGATCATCAACTGTGGATTTTGATGTATTAACCCCCTGAGCAGAAGTTCTGCATTCAATAGACACTGGAGAAAAAGAAAATTGGAGTGCAATAGCAGTTTCCAACTGTCTATAGATATCAAGAAACTATGATTCAGGAGAGAAGTATTGTACAACACTCTCACTGAAATCCACATATCCATATAACCAGTTAAGCTAATTAAAATGTATTTAAACAAAACCTGTAGTAAGGCCCTTATACATAAGCACTTGCCTGATTCATTTCCTGTTTGAAATAGTCTAAAAAATTGCTTTAGAATACAGGGCTACTATAAATGATTCATTCGTTTTTAAAACGCTATATTTTCCAAAGCAATAAACGTACAGATATGATTTATATATAAAAAGAACCGTAAACTCACCAAGTTTTCTTCACACTCTACAAATGTTCTGTGTGTGCCCCTTGGGTCACACGACAAACGTCCAGGCGGTAGTCGAGCTCGTTCCACACATTTTGTAGCATCATCCTGTCAATGGTCATCACTGCAGCATCGATGCGTTCCCTCAGCTCTACTAGTGTTCTTGCCAGTGGGGGTACGTAAACACGATCCTTAATGTACCCCCAAAGGAAGAAGTCACAAGGAGTTAGATCAGGTGATCTGGGGGGCCAAGTGAACAGAGCTACGTCATACTCACCAACACGCCCAATGCAGCGATGCCGAAGTTCATTGTTTAGGTAGCGACGGACATTGCCGATACCACCGCAAAATTCTTTGTTTACATGGCGGTTCTTACTCTCTTTTGAATGCGCGTTGCACTGCTATAACAGACGAACATCTCGCATACTCCAACAAACAAAAACTCTTTTCTTGCTTTGTCGCCATTTTGTAACGGCACTGAATTCGTGCTGCCAACTGCTGCACATATTATAAACTTGTTGAATTTATGGTTCTTTTTATATATCAGTCATATTTGTATGTGTAATACTTTGGAAAATATAGCGTTTTTAAAAACGAATGAATCATTTATAGTAGACCTGTATATCAATAACAAGGTCTATGATAATCAGGAGTGACTGTAATTGAATGGAACACATCAACTTCTGTTGTTAAATTTCTAAGATAAAATATAGATACTGTAAAGCAGACCACATAAGCTCTGATAAAAGGTGTGCTAGAAGTGAAGACTGAGAAAGTTAAGTATATATCTCACCAATAGAATATACGACAGAATCATGATATAAAAATAGCTAACAGATCCTCTGAAAATGTGGCAAAGTTAAATATTTTGGAACAATGGTACGAAACCAAAATTATATAATGTCACGATTTTATTGAGTGACAAAGGACAGTGTTTGGATTGGTAATTTGATTTATTGAACACTTATAGATCATAACTACAAATAACTATAGCACTATCACTAATTCATGCACTCTGCAGTTCACTACAGCACATACTAATACTTCTCAGTCTGCTGTTAGTCTTCACCAGTCACTGTCTGGTAACAATTTCCAAAGCCTTAGATCCATCAACTTCCTGTGTTCATGGCTTCGCACCTTTGCTGGCTGTTGCCTATGTCACTGCAGCTCCCGACCTGAATTACCAACTGCTGAACTCTCAGCTATATTCGACTCCACTCCACTCACTAACTTACTCATTCCACTATGCGGCATTCACTGAACTGAACTCAGTCAGTTGAGATATATAGCCTCAGAGTGGACCCACAGAGAACACAGTTTCCAACATCTCTTCTACTGTTGCATCATGTAGCTATCACATGGACCACATAGCGTACATCTCCAAGACTATGGAGTGTCACTAATCAGTATGCTACAAACCAAAATTGGAATTACATCCATAAATAAGCTAAGAGCAGATTAAATTTTCGAGAATGGTTGGTACCATTCAGTTCAGAATCTCTTATCTTCCCATCTCCAATCCAGAAATGTAAAGACAAGAACATATACACCTATAATTTTAACTGTTTTGTATGGACATGAAATCTAGCTTCTCACCCAAAGGGAAGAAAACAGCATGCTCAGGAGAATATGAGGGATGAACTAATAGAACTGTACAAGAAGCTTCATAATTTGTACTCTTCAGCAAGTAATATTAATGTAAACAAATTAGATATGATGAGATGTGTGGGGCATGTAGCATATATAGAAGGTGAGAAATAAATACCAGAACAATTTTAGTTGCAAGATATGAAGAAAAGAGACCAAACATAGATGGGAGGATATTAAAATATAATATAACTAAGCTCATATTTGAATGTCTAGCTGTGTATGTGTAATATCTTACTTGAGGAACTGAGGAAATTAATACAATGCTCAGCTGAAATACCTAATGTCATGATAAGATTAGAAATAGGGATTCAGCCACATTGCTCTCGAGATTAGTTCCATTTACATCACTGAATAACATACTGGAAACTTTAGATCACCTGCTTATAATTATGTAGCAGGACAAGTTATGCCATGAGATAGATGAATATACTGTTTACTTGTATTACACTTATTCAGTTTCAAGAAAAGGTGGTAAGCCTCCATAACTATGGTATTTACTTGTACAGTGAACGAAAAAATGCTTAATGCATGACTATTTAAAGTTTAATAATAAAATGTATAGAATCTTAAATTATAGTTACTACAGTCTAGGAAGTAAAATTAATTGAATGGCTATACTTCAAAAGTGAGGGTGACCCAAAATGTATCAACTAACTAACCATCAAATTTAAAGAATGAATGATATCTTCCATTTAACTGGTTAGTTTGACTGTACACAGTGAGGGAAATCCAGGACCAGCCATATTCAGTTCAATTTGATCCTTTATTACACTAAGGATTTCACATCTCTTCACGGAGAAGTCATAAGCAGTAGCAGTGATGTAATAAAATGAAACTAAACTATTTCAAAGGTTACAAAAATGTCATATTTTCAAAGTACTGCGAACTAGTGCGCAATATATCAGTTTAAATTTGTATCTGATTTTCTTATTTACAATATGAAATAATACAGGAGGAATGTTGCATATAAAGGTGAGGTTTGATATTATTTGTTTTTAAACTTACTAACATTTGTGCATTCACTCCATCATCAAAATCTACGTCTTTTGCAGAGGTCAACCAAAGCGAGTGATACCAGGAGAACTGAAAATTGCAGGGAAAGCAAGCGAAGGAAAGATCACCATCAGATATAAAGTTCCAAGTAAATAACATCAACTTTGTTAATAATATAATGAAATCATTGGTGATAACTGTGCAATGTGAGCAGTAAGTCACACACCATAGTATTACTTCTGTGTTCAAAATAACCACCATTAATACTAAAATACCTAAGAATTTTAACGGTTCATTATATTTTAATTCCTATATACATCTAGTTTGTATATAATTTCTTTCCATTAATTGTCATTTCTTGCTAATTCTTGAATGATCCCTCCAAACAACAGACTTTAAATGGTCCACACAGGAAAGAAACAGAAGAGTGTGACATAAAGTCACCCTGATGGCCACTCAAATATAACAGACCAGATGTTACTGTTGACTTCCTACTGGGTTAGAAACACAGTACACTCCACCATGGAAAGTTAGTTTGCATCTGTCAACAGCATGTTCCAGATATTCATTCCAAAGCCAGAAGGGTTGGGAACATAATTTACTGCATTTACTGGTCCATTTACTGCATCCCCTGACAAAATCCATGAGTTCCTATGTTATGAAGAACTTGTCCTCCGAAAGGTGACAGCTGAAAGTTATGACGGGTAGAGAGACATTTGTGATCCCTGTGCATATCAACATCTGGAATACTTTAAAATAAACACAGCAGAACTGGAAATGAGAAATATTTGAAAGGCAAGCAAGCTTGGAGACTGAGCAGTTAAGACTTTAGACAGCATGCATGTACAGAAGTGCACGGCACAATTCTAAACTGAATATTATAAAGAAATAATAATACAAGATTAAAACATTTTGCTGCATTGATGTGTAATTTAAAGAGGTATTCATCCGGGCATCAAAGAAGTTACCTATCATTAACTACTCTGTGGTTCTAAATAACCTTATTTCCAAGCTCATCTATCATCAATATCCTAACTGATTACCATCCAGTGATTATGTCAAGTAGGTACTGTTTCCTTCTTATCCCGCAAATACACCAAAAGATAAAGGGCTACACAGTCCACTGAGTTAACCCAGCAAAATGCTATAAGCAGACTACCTGTAACCACTGTGATGTGTGAAGGAGGTGGTTACAAAACTCTGTCGTCCAACATATCTCTTGTGAAACCTGATCAGAGGCACCATAAAATATGGCAATGGTGTGTGATTTATTACCCACAATATGACTGCCATTATCATTATTATTGTTTTAACAACTGAATAATCAGTGAAGTACTAATATTTTCTACTTACAGTTCTACCGGCATGGGAGACAACCTACCACGTTCTGAACACAGACTATGATTCATATGCAGTTCTGTGGAACTGTGCAAGCTATGGAATAATGAATATACGTGAGTACATGTTCTTATAACCATTGGTGCAATAACAGACTTTAATTCAGATTCTGCAGTCAATCACAGTGGCTGTGCAGTGTAAGGCATAAACTGTCTTCATTCGCTTGAACACTGGGATTGTGGGTTTGAATCCCACTTTAGGCATGGATGTCTGTCTGCATTTATTCTGTGTGTAGGTAGCGGCCCAACAGGCTGTTCCCCCATCCAAAGAGTCCTACAAACTCTGTATAGGATTAAGAAAATGAAAAAGTGGCCAAGGTGCAACAAAAGGACTGTAGAGCCATAGATAGACAGAATTCGGATTCTGTAAAGATAACTGTAACAAACCACAATGTTAAGAGTCTGTTTAAATTAGCCTTAGATGTTCAGCATGTCTTCTTTATGAGACCAAATTCAGATTTGCACATATTGTATTAATATGAGTCTACAGGACAAGCATTAGTTTTGCAATAAAATGCTCACAATCAGCATGGTGTATTTTAGGATTTTGAAAATTTACACCTTGTGGATTTAAATGCTATCACAGCCAAGTCCGTGAAGTGGCTAGCTATAGGTTAGATAGCAAAGACTTCAATTTCTGGCTGAGACAGAAACTTTTCCTTATGTCCATACCAGCCCTGGAGTTCATGAATCATATCAATGAATGGGCATAGTAGTACCTTCCCTGGGAGTAAAGTGACAGGAGCATGACACTGACCACTTCTCTGTGCCCTGTGGCAAAGTTGGAAGTGCATTAAGCTTTACTTTCATGCTCCTTAGAGTACTGTACCCAAACATAGGTGCAACTTCAACAGTAAATATGATTACAACATTTATAATTACAATGATTCAGTTATTATGGCTATCACACCGAATTATTTCATGTGGTCTTTTAAATAAGAGATAACTTAATACACTTTTCAAAAATCCATCACCACACAAAATACATGACCTTGCATCAGATGGTGCTAATAGTTCCTCTCTAACAAATTTGCAAAGTACTACAGTGGTTCTGTATTTCAGCATCCTGTTGCAATTGTTCACATTAGCGCCCGTTTGTCTATAATCCGTCCAAATTGCAACACTTTTTATTTTACACTTCAATACACTAACACTATGTTTCGGACTCAAATGGCCATCTTCAGGTGTTTTTCTATAGATATTCAATTAAGATTGTGTTGAAACAGCTACACTGTTTCACTGTTCGAAATTCATTTTAAACAACAACACGCTGTAGTCTTCTTTTTAATTAAAATGAGATAAAATTCTTTTTATAATTTGTTACTTATGACGACACCCTGAGTGAAGCAAAACAATAAGTAACAAATTATAAAAAGAATTTTATCTCATTTTAATTAAAAAGACTATAGCATGTGGTTTTTAAAATTAATTGGAACAGTGAAAGAGTGTACCAGTTTCGACACAATCTTAATTGAATATCTGCAGAAAAACACCTGAAGATGGCCATTTGAGGCCGAAACATGTAGTGTTAGAGAGCGTATTGAAGTGTAAAATAAAAAGTGTTCCAATTTGAACGGATTATAGGCAAATGGACGCTAATACTACAGTGGTATTATTCAAGACAATAAGTCAGAATCTATCAGTACGCAATGACCATATGTGATACAATACTCATACCATTAACAAAAATAAATGTATAAGGGTGCAACTGGTTGTGTAGATGGTGTACTGTACTAGGGCCCCATCCGAATGCCAGGTTCAATTAGTCATTAATGCATCATGAATATAAAATTATGTACTTATTTTTCAACTTCCTATCTTTCCCCTATCTCATTTAATGATATTAACCTAGCCTATTTTAGCTGGAAGAAGTCATATGAGCCATGAACATTACATACTTCCATATACTTTCTGGGCAAGACTCAAGTGATTAGTGGCAACTCTACCCTGGTCAGTGGTCACCACTTAATAGTTCTAGATCAGTCCAAAGGTTGGTCGAGTCTAAATCTTGTTCATACTTCAAAAGGCAGCTGTCGGCAACCTTATGCTACTACAATATCATATCAGTGGTTAGTGACAGATCCCCTTGCAAACACAGTAGTGTTCAACAATTTCATCCCTAACAGATGAAAATGTTCGTAATGAAGCACACAAGTGGTTAGCAAAAAAGTATATTAACAAAGGACACGAAAAATGTTTTCAGAGTTAAAAAAAAAAATAATACTATCTTCTCAGACATAATGTTGACGTACATGGCATCATATCCCAGAAGACAGAATTCTGAGAACCTCACATCCTATTTACCAAAACTGAATATATTTTTTGCAAAAATTACATAGAGAACGGAGTTGCTCAAGCAGTAATGATAACGGAGATAAACTTAAAGACGCAAATTATTAAAGTGCAGATAAAACTAAGAAACAGGTTGTTCATGCAATATTGATGACATAACTGAAGTTGCAGAAACAGGTTATACAAGCAATGATGACAGTGCAGATAGAAGCAGCAGGTTATTAAAGTACAAATTGTTTTATTTATTTTCTTCTTTCTCTCCTCCAAACTGTTTAGCTGTTCTTGCCATGAGGTATTGACATACATGTTTGAAGGAATTCAAGTCTGTCAATCTACATATTGTCTCTAAATTAGACTGGATTTTGCTGAAATTTGATAATAATAATCTGCACTAAGAGTCATCTGGCCAGTACATTTGTTGTTGCTCTTCTTTCTTCTGTATCAAATGCAACTTCTACTCTCATGAAGATTTAACAGATTTATTTTAATTTTGCTTAAAAATGGTTCACTGTATATAACATATGTACATTACAGAATCTGCATGGCTATTGGCTAGACAGAGAAAGCCCCCTGGCACAGTTTTGCAGAAGGCATATGGGGTGCTTGATGCATACAGCCTCCCTCGAAATTACTTTGTGGAAACCTCACATAATGACTGTGAAATAGCCGCAGTGGCCCCCGATGTTATCCCATCAAACCCAGTACCAGACGATGCAACAAGAAAACCATCCATCTCGGACAACAAAGACCCTGTCAAAGAACAACCCATTGTGCCCAGTGATGATAAATCTAAGAAAACAACAGATGCCAAGAAATCTACACAAGACATATCAGAAGGTGCTGAAAGCCTATATAAGGATGAAGTACCCAAGCCCTCATCTGACACAACTCAAGAAAATAAAGCTTCATCCAAATCAATTGCAGCTCCTGAGAAAATTAACATCCCTTCCAGTATGATGGCAGAAATTCCCTCAGAAATAAACGAAGAAAAACTGTAGTCTCTTGTATGATGGTCAGCATTCCTACATTGTGGTCTTCACTCACACAATGAACTCAGTCTGGATACCATCAAGTCAATTTATTTCATTCAATTACATTTTATAGAACAGTTAAAGTGATTAGTTATATCAAAATATTATTATATAGATCATAGCAGAACATGTTGTTGTCTGTCTTAATTCCAAATATGATCAAATATTAACATGATTCAAGATATATTTATAAAGGAAGACAAAATTAATAAACTATATTTGCCACGTGTTAAGAATCTCAATAGGATCATTTATGCAGCCGCATCTGAATATGTACCTCAGTTCACTAGTGTATTACACATGAAAAACATTTAAATAAATGTTCCACACTTTAGTCACAACACCAGCAGTTACATTTTCTAACATATGAAGCAAATACAAACTGTATTTGTACCACGATATCAAAACTGAACAGAGGGATGAAGGTGCTTGTAATTACATTAGTATGTTTAAGAGTTCAAGATTGTAATATGACTAATATGAATGGCTGTTTTCCTCTAGCTGATGTAACCATCAGTCACTCAAACCCAAGTAGGTGAGATATCTTCTCACATATACACTGCACTCAGCAGCTGCAAGGTGCCCTAAATGAACTGTTTATGGCATAATCGTCTACTTATGCTTTATATACCATTATGAACACTGTTACAAATAAATTTTAAAACTGTAATTCATTGTTCTTTCTTGCATAATTGTGTACTTACACCATTATCATTATCTATATTGCCACAAATAAATTCTAACATCATAAATCACACTACCAATTTACCTTCAGCCTGAAACTCCTCCAAATAATACTAATAAATTCATGTCCTACTTTAAGGAACAAACACTGCATCCCCATTACAAGGACGAACTGTTTACTATTACTTCAGAAAATAATAAATATTTATTATGAGAATTACATCAAACTGAATATATGGGACACCTGCTCACAGAATAGTGTTCCACTGTTAAAGCAGATGTTAATGTACTGTTAGTTCCTCGGAACTCTAGCCGTGGTAGAGGGGTCATACTATCTCTTGCGGAGCAGTCTTATCAGCTTACATCAGCATGGGTACTACCAGTTTGGAATCTAGCATCTTGGAGTGTAGTCAGCTGTATAGTATTCCTGGTCTCCATAGGCAATGTTTTCTGCTTGGGTAGTAGCTCTGAACATCACCACAGCAAGTGTACAGCTTTGCGTGCTCCACAACAGCGTTTACCTTTCTGCGCGGCTAAAGTTACAAGGCACTAACTATAGTCCCCACTATGCTTCAAGGTGAAGGTAGTTTTCTGTATTTAAAACCCCCCAGATGGATGACCACCCTTGTCGGCTGTCCGCGACTGCTTATTCTATATATTTGCAGCTACCCTCCATATCTGGAAGCTGTCTCCTCTATCTGCAACCTGATGACGTACCATCCGATGGTGACAAGGGACCCACCTAACTTGATCTGGTTAATCCATATTTTATTTAGTGTATCTGAGTTGTACCATTTGTCTGATTTCATGCAGTGTTCTTAGGAATACTATTCTATCAGCCACAATATCAGTGCATTCAGTTAAAGGCTTCCTGCCAGCCACCACTGCATGTCACATACCTGATGCCCCATGCTCTTTTAAAATTCTCAGCATTGAGCATCTGGTCCCCCTGAATCTGCCTACTTCTCTCATTTTCAGTAGTTTCTTAGGTGCTGCAAATTCTTCACTGGCATGCACATAAAAAACTACATACTGGAAGACATTTTTATGTCAGCACACTTGATATCTGAAAACTGTTTGACTTGTATCAAACAAGTATCTTGCTTCACTCACACTTCTTTTAAAAGTATGAAGTCTTGTCACAATATTACAGTTCATTCCTGACACATGGCAATGTTGTTACTGGCATATTTCTTTGCTTTCATAGGATAATACTAGCTAATAAAGAGTATATCAAAATAAAACCTAACTCAGTAAGGATGAGGATATTTTGACATTGTTCAGGGTTTGAAAGCAAGGAAGTCGGTGACACTTATGTTCCAAATGTCTCTTAAGATAAAAATCAGGTAAGTTCGTAAGAGCAGTGACAAATTGATCAGTATCAGGCTTTGTTGCCTACACTCTTTGATCACAGTGAAATGTACTCTTAATATGGGAAAATTTAAACTAAGTACACAGTACAAATATTATCTTTCTGAACACCATCATCATCCTGTTTTTATTTAAAACATGTTTCAAAGACTGCATTCTGTCTCCACCTACAGGTAAAACCTACTGTTGGGCCCAATTGATACAGCTAGTCCTTATCTCTGGAGACATAATGTAGTCTCTGAAATGTTGCATTTTAAATAACATGATAATAGAGATCCAGAAGCATATTTGTATTAATGTACCACTGTCACAAACTTTTAAATCTTAAATAGAGTCATAAAAATATCTACTCATATGATTTGTGACGTAACATTCTTAGAATTACAAGTTTAATTGGAGGCAACTGTGCATCTATATGACAAACCATCAAGTCTGACTTCTTCCATTGAAGACCATCCATCCAACATAATTAGTATCCACCCATGAACCCCTGCCCCAACCTCTCGCTGCATTCCTAGGATTTTTGAGAATCACTGGCCTCCATGCTCCTCCCTCAGCTGCAGTAAATGAAGATCCAATTAGCCCAATATCTATGCCAAATCTGCTCAGAAAGCATCAACATACCTCTCAAATACAAATGGAATTGTTAAGTTTATTGTGGCCCAGTCAAATGACCTTAATTTCTAAAACCAAAGTTCTAGTTTCTTTGCAGATGTCTCCTTTATACTGTCCACTGTTGTAACTGCAGAAAAAATGTTAAATCTCAAAAGCTTCTGCTGTTTCAAACTGCTGGGTACTTAAGCCATAACCAGTTCAAACGAAATCTGCAGAAACTTCTGCAGATGTTTACAACCAACCAGTCAGAATTTAGTTAAAAATCTAGATAAATGATGTAAAAGGCAACACTGTAAAAAGGATATAAAATATTGCAGTAGTGGAGATAATAGTCAAAAATATTAATTACGTGTACCACAAAACATCATAACTTTTGCAGATACCGCTAAATGAAACCATATGCAAAATTGCAAATATAAAGGAAAAACAGGAAACACCACAAGATGTAAAAGCAGAGAAACAATATATAATAATGTGGAAGGGACAAAATAGAAATAAACCACTTACAATGAAGGAAGTGGGCTGGGATGGTTGAGTACATGGAAACTACAGAATTTGAACTGTTTAAAAAGACTACATAAATAAATTTAAAGCATTTTTATTATATAATGTGGATAAACACAAGCCAGTGCTTCAGTACATGAGTATGACCACCTTCCACTGTTATTCTGCCAACTTTTACAACTTCAGCTTTGTTCTTCTCCAGTGTCGCCTTTTGGCATTATACCTGGAAGATAAAAGATAACATAAAACTACCCTTTCAGAAACAATATATCACCCTATAAAATTCAAACAAGTTCTGAAAGGAACTTTATGGTACAGACTTTATATCAAATGTTTCACCATACAAAATAGTAAATACATAAACTCACAAACTGCCCTCAAGTGTAATTACGTGAAACACAGTTCCAAGGATCAGCTGCTTCCCTTCAAATCCATCATCTGCTCACCATTCATAAGTACAACAAAAGCTGATAAAATATTCTCAAACTAGCTGCATTATTTCAAAGCCAAGGTTCAATGTATCTGTGACCTTCATTTCCATCATCAGGAAATGATGTACTACATACACAAACCAACAAACTTGCATACATTTTTTCAGCTAGAAAAACCTGTGCATGCCAGCATACTTGTCAAAAGTCTAACATCTGTTAGTCTATTGTATGTTTTGCCCTTGTGGCTAAAAGAATGTCACTGCATCAGCAAACACTTTTAGAAAGAAAAGCACTCCATATATAAACAAAGCCTACTTTCAAGGACAACCAATGATCTATGTACGCTTGTGGGTGGAGTCAAGTGTGAACCCATATCAGCACTTAACCCTTTAAAGCACTAAGATTACTACATTTGCCAAAAGGGTGTGGAGGTACAATGCCACCATTCTTAACTTCAGCACAAGATGGAGATTCATGCCCCAGCCACTCTACCCCCAGGGAGTCTCCAGTAGGCACAAGATAGGAGCCTAAAGGCTGGATGGGCCCCAGAGCTGGTCTGGATGCTGTGAGAAGAGAAAAATCTCTCACCCCTGCTGGGAATTGAATCCTGGCCATCCGGCCTGTAGCCCATCGCTATACCAACTGAAAGATACAAACTGAATCTTTATGTTCCTTAGATGAATTTCACACTTTAGAATGACATATCTGATGTCTGCCATGCTGCTACAATTCTGCTGTATGTGTGTAGTCTCCTCAAATATGGTAGCCTTTCCAGTTCTTGTGATGCCAGTACACTGCTTAACCTCGCTACAGACACCACCACGTCTGAATGTTCAGCAACTTCTTTAGGGGCCTAACATGGCTTTCTGGAGCATTGTACTGTGTCGGTATCACACTGACTTTGCATGAAACCATTAATGCTACTGAAATTAGTGAGGATAGATCTCAGGTAGCCTCCTTCATGAGCCTGTCCATGTTACACTGTGGCCCAGCTGGTATAGTACTCATACTTACATAAAATATATTCTGGGGCCCATCTCTACATCATGCTCTGCTAATGTAAATGTTATCTGGTTCATAAAGGCTAATGTAACATGCATGTTATTTGTATCTGCCTTTACTGTATGACCTGTTGAACAGCATACAACATTACCATATTCATATGGAATGATTTATACACCCAGCACATTTTGTCAATCACCAACTTTCACAAACCTGATCTTGTGGAAGTCACTGACACGTCCACATAATTATAATTTCAGTAATGGTTACATCACACACTGGATGTGGTACCCATTTATAAACATGCTCCAGAAAGCCATGTTAGGCCAACAAGAGGGGTTAAACAGAACTGAAATGGACATTTACGTTAAGGTCATATTTACCTTTACACGGTCATGTCTTCATGGCATGGTGCTTACTTAGTTAACCACGGGGCCAACTTTACCTTATCGACAACTAAAAGTTACACGAATTGTCCTTGAAAATGGGAATTAACTGATGTAGATGGCCAACACTGTCAAGTCAGATCGAGAACTTCAGCATTACACAATAAAGGTTACATCCATATATATATATATATATATATGAACTGGTTATTCAAGTTCCATAATCTTCGAGAAAATACTCTATGTGAACAGAAATGTGCGCGTCTTACGCCACCGTGTACTTCGATGGCTGGGTACGAATGTTTTCGAGAAACGTATTTTTACACAAATGATAAGTTACTCCAATGTGCTCACAATTTCGTTCTCTCACGAGTGACGGTGCCTACGACACACGAAATCTTCACGTGTCGTCACTTAATATTTTGGCTAAGGGGTCAGTAACAATATGCAAGCATAACAAAAACACAAGGGCCATTATTTTCCCCGTATCATGCATAAGTAAAACTTATGCGCTTCCCAACAATTATTTTATTGCAAATTTCCTATACTGGGCTCAGAACTCACCTAATCGTATTACCCGTCCGCATTCTGACCCACTGGGGAATCGGCCTATTTTGCTTCAATTTCTTCGCCAGTTTCCGCTTGATTCTAAATGTCTTGTGCGCAGACTGTGAAATAAATATAAATATGAACAAGTACTTTACATGTTTAAACAAAATTATAGACAATATACAATATGATGTCTACTATGAAATACGATACATAAATTTTCTTTATTCCTCACCATCTCTTTCACCACTTCAAAGCACTCAAGGATGACAGCGATTACAGCGTACTAACTACTAGCGCTACTAGCATCGACTGGCATCGACTAACATAAACAGATATGTATTTCATAGCAATGGCTAAATAATATCCTGCCATCTGTATATGGGAATCGGTAATAGCGTTGATTTGTAGAATAACAAGCCTGCGATGCTTGTATAACGATAGCTCAGCCGGTAATAAAATTTGCTCACAATCCCAACTTCGGCACCACCCAAATAACTAAACTCCATGAATCCGATTCCTTCTTGATAAAACACCAGTCACTCAGCCACCAAAGTATTATGGACCCTATAGATTGAGTACTGTGCTCACAAGGGCCTGTCTCTAATCTTTATCTTGAACAAGATGACACCAGTCCACACCACCTCACTCTATTCCTCTAAAATCAATTTTAAAATTATCCTTCTACCTACGTCTATGTCTTCCCAGTGGTCTATTTCGTTCAAACTTCCCCATAAAAACCCTGTATGCCTTTCTCATCTCTTCTATGTATGCCACATGCCCTTACCTTACCCATCTCATCTTCCTTCCTTTTATCATTATANCGATGCTTGTATAACGATAGCTCAGCCGGTAATAAAATTTGCTCACAATCCCAACTTCGGCACCACCCAAATAACTAAACTCCATGAATCCGATTCCTTCTTGATAAAACACCAGTCACTCAGCCACCAAAGTATTATGGACCCTATAGATTGATTACTGTGCTCACAAGGACCTGTCTCTAATCTATATCTTGAACAAGATGACACCAGTCCACACCACCTCACTCTATTCCTCTAAAATCAATTTTAAATTATCCTTCTACCTACGTCTATGTCTTCCCAGTGATCTATTTCATTCCGACTTCCCCATAAAAACCCTGTATGCATTTCTCATCTTTCTATGTGTGCCACATGCCCTTACCTTACCCATCTCATCTTCCTTCCTTTGATCATTTTGGCAAAGAGTACAAGTTATACAACTCATACATGTAGAGATCTATTTAAAAAGCTTGACATACTACCAATCCCATGTGTATATTTGCTTTCATTGATGACATTTGTTGCTAATAATTTGGATAAGTTTCAAACCAATAACTCTGTATATGTGATTGGTACCAGGAGGAATGACCACTTTCACATACTTTCAACACATTTATCATTCTATCACAGAGGGGTGTATTATTCAGGCATCAAGCTATTTAACACTCTGCTGTCAAATATCACGGTTTTAAAAATGATAGAAAGCAATGTAGGTTTTTTATGAAATGATTTGCAAAGTAACGTATTGATGAATTTGTCAAGCATGCAAGGGGCTCAAAAGTTAAGAGTTAATAAATGGTCTGTGTGTGTGAATTATATATAATTGAGACTTGCTTGTTGTAAGTGTAGTAGTATGTATGATGTCTGTTTTTGTTATGAATTTTAATATTTTATAATGTAACTGTTTTAATGATACTACTTGCCAGTGTGTGTGGAATGGAAAGGCATGAATTTGATAGTGGTTTTTCCACAACCCATGTGTGTTGTCCTGACAACTGGAACTATCTGTGAGAGGCCTGATTATATATTTTATTGGACAAAGGACGAATGATGTGTAGTCATCATGAATCTGAAATATGTGACATGTTTTGTATCCAACCCTACGGGGAGATGATTGGATCTGCGAAGTGAAAATAAATGTAAATATGAAACTAGTTACTATGCAGTTTCCTGCAATCTCCTATTATTTCATCCCTCTTCAGTCTAAATATGCTCCTCAGCACCCTGTTCTCAAACACTCTCCGTCCATATTCTTCCCTTGATATCAGAGGCCATGTTTCACACTCATACTAAACTATAGGCAAAATTACAGTTTGGTATATTTTAACTGTTATGTTTTTAGACAAAAGACAAAATGTTGTGAAATGAATGGTATCAAGCATTACCAATATTCAATTTCCTCATAAATCACATTCTGATCTCTCCTGAACTTTGCACTGTTTTAAAAGACTCTATTAGCCATCTTAATGTTATGATCTTGTCCTCTACTCTTGTCACGAGACATTTACATATATTTAGTCATCTCTGTGCTTACTTCTAGCCCAACTTCCTTACTAGCCTCAATTACAGCTTCTCAATATATTCACACCAACAGCATAGATCAGTAGCTGATGTGACCCATTTAGTTTCAGTCCCACCAAGTTTACATGGACCTTCCTAAGGCATATTTCAAAGCAAGTTGAAAAGCAATTGTGATAAAATGTCCACTTATTTTAGACCATTCTGAATTGCAAACGTTATCAGACAAACCAGAAGGCGAATATACATTTTTTCTCTGGAAAGGGGAATGAGAATCATGAATTAGGTACAGGGTTTTTAATATAAAAGAGAATGATATCAGCAGTTAAGAGGGTAGAGTTCATTAGTGATAGGATGTCATACATAACACTAAGAGGTCGCTGGTGTGATATCATCATTCATGCCCCAACAGAAGACAAAATTGATGATATAAAGGACATGTTCTATGAAGAACTAGAACATATATTTGATAAAGAGTGCCGTCTTCTGGGATGTGGCACCGTGTAGATACTGTGTCTGCAGCCACTTGCCCACGCTGGTTCCTCGCTTGCGGATTCTTCTGCCCTGAGGATGGAGGTGATACGTTCGGTTTACACAATATCTACATGGCGCCACATAACATCATAGCAAAAGCCGTGAAGTACCACATGAAAATTTTGTTAGGAGATTTCAATATCGAAGCAGGTAGGGAAGACACTTTCAAACCAACAGCTGGGAATGAGAGTTTGCGCGAAATTATTAATGATAATGGGGTTAGAGTAGTAAACTTTGCCACATCCCAAAATCTTATTGTCAAAATTACAATGTTCCCACATCGTAACATTAATAAATTTACTTGAACATCTCCTGATGGGAAGACGTGCAATCAAATTGACTATATTTTGATAGATAGGAGACGGCATTCAAGTATACTTGATGTCTGATCATTCAGGGCAGCAGGTTGTGATACTGACCACTACCTGCTGGTGGCAAAGGTTAGGGGAAGACTGGCAATGAGTAAACAAATAACACACAGAGTTCATATGGAGAGGTTCAATCTCAAGAAATAATGAGGTAGAGGGTAAAATATCACTACTGGGTGATACCTTTATTGTTGTTTTAATTGCACCAAAGCAATTAATGATTTTAAAGTAACATAATTAAAATAAAAAAATTCTTCTTGCAGGCTCTCATCAGACCTTAACTTATAACTTATTTGTCATATATTCAAATTCATCATTGTAAATAATTCTACCATAATACATTGTCTATATCTAAAACGCCAATATAAAATTATATAATATTCCCTTCATGGGGAAAAACAGAAACTACAACCCTGGGTTCAGTGAATGGAACCATTAGGAGTGACAATCTCTAGTCCACTCTTAATACTGGCTGGACCATACAACTTTTCTAAATGCACTGCATGAGATATGCTAGGGGTATCAATATTAAGATTGATATTTAGTAAATTGTGCATATAAAATAACACTTCTAACAAGACTAGGTGCAGTACTTAAAATCACAGATGTAACATATCATTGTATTTAAAAAAATTAAGTGAAAAAACCGTTTTGATTATATGTACCTGATACCAGAATTGGATAACCAAGAATATATCACATTAATAGGGTTTAACTAACATATTCACTGCCAATGATGGCAGTTCAAGGCACACACTGTAATACTGACTACAATTTGTTAACCAGTCTTAAAAACACTCAAGCTTTTCTCCTCTATTTATGCAATAAAATAACACAAGTTTGACTGTGCTTAGGCAACACATCATCAAAATGTATAGATATTCTTGGAAATAAAGCTCCACACAATATTAATCTCAGCTCGGTACTGAAGAGGTGGCTGAGCTACATGCTACAGCCATTTTACTCCCGCAGAAACAGCCTCTAGTATCCAGTGGACAGGATGCTTGGTGGGCCTCAGACCTGGTCCAGACATAGTTGTGGAAGGAGAAACCATGCCCTTACCAGGATGTGAACTGCAGCCAACCAGCATTGAATCAGTCACTTTAGTGACAGCTGTTCCAGCTCTGAGCAATAAATTATGCAGTAAATTATTCAGTACAAGTATTTAATCTTCAAACTGTAAAGTATCTTTTCTGTTTATATGTTCGGTTTAAATAATGACGTTTTATCAACTGTGAAATTCAAAGTGTCATCAGAGCTGGAAAAACTGGTTATGTAAGAATATGCTGAGTATGTATGTGTATTGAAGGAAGTGGCTGTTGTCTGTTTCAAGGTTGAGATCAGGCACTTGGCTGGAGAATATAAAGAAAATCATGTAAAGCCATTGCCAGGGCAGCAGAAATACTGGCTGAGCTTTGAAAGAGGTTCTCCTTGATGCAGAAGCAAAAATGCTGCACTGACCTGCCTGGTATTTTAGGACTTGGAAAGATGTCCATTTAAAAGTACTTTCAGCAAATAAGGAAAAATATAAAATAAAATTCAATCAGGACAACCAGTAAGTTACAAACAATTAAAAGTGGGTACATTCTACATGAAAGAAAGGAGCACTATTGCTACACAAATCAACACAGTCAAAAATTCTTGTACCAATCTTTTGACAGCAGTCACTTCACCGCAAGCTTGAATTGTTATTTAAATGCAGTGACTGTTTAAAAAACATTCATTTGTACACAACTCTAAAATTGAGAAACAAAACATGTTTTACCTATTAATGTTGTTCAACCAAGCAATGATTTAATATGCTACTTGCCTGTAAAGACATAGATGAAGAAGATGTGACATTAGGTCATTTTATATGATTGGAAGGAGAGGCAAAAGATCTCCCAGAGTTTTAAGATAATAATGTGGCAAGTTAGTGTTGTCTTCCTTCAAATCTTCAAACTTTGTTCCTCCAGAAAGTACCAGTAGTTTCTGGAATCCACAGTTTGTACCCAGCTGCATATCTGTGGAGATCCTACAAGACACACCACACACAATCATTTTTTTTTGTTAATTATTTAACCACCAAGTTAGTAACTCATAGCAACAAATGACTGGATGACAGCGAATAATGGCTTGGAAAGGATACGTAAGGTATCGGCTGTAGGCTAATTTTAAGGCATTTTCCCCATGTGTGTTTAGAGGGATTGAGGAAAATTATGACAAACCTCAGTCAGGATAATCAGGATCCTGACCCAGATTTTAGCCAACCACCTTCTGAATACAAGTCAGAAGCATTACTATTTGAGCCAACATGCTCATTCCCCCATTCTGTGCATACAACAGCTGATGAAGAGATGCACAGATCAGGGATGACAATATTTTTCTTTTTCTGGTACTAAAATTATGCCAAAAGCCACATGTCAATATAAACTGGTGCCATCCTTGGTACTGCAGTAACACATTATAGACTTAACAGGACATCTTTGCCAAACATTTTTTGACATTTCTTCAGTCGTTGGCTTGCGTGTTAGTTTTGAGTGTGACAAAAACTGCACGCCTATTACATGAGACAGAGTCTTAAATCTGATTTTATAGATTTCTCCGATCAAAATAAGGGGCAATAAGTGTCACTGAGAACAGAATACAATGTATTTCACTGTAGCTGTCTTTCTATATGTAACCGTACTTCTTGTTCAGTGTGCAAAAAAGTAATAACAAAAATCTATTTTCTGCAACTACTGAATTATAAAACAATTCCTGACGGTATGACAAACAAACCCTGCCATCACTTGTTCCAGTCAAAATATTAATCAATGTCAATGGTTCATCATGCCCAGCATAGTCTTAAATTCTACTTACAGATCTAATCTAGACTACAAATATTTCCTAGCATACAAGGACAAATTATTCCTCTTGGTTCTTCAGCTTTCACAGATTAGGCCCTATGGCATTTTACGATATAGAAATACTTTACACATTCTTATAAGTGACCTGAATATAACAGATTTCAGATATAATGGACAAAATCTGGCTGTGTACACCTGTGAATTCTTAGAGATGTTGAGACAACTAAGGACTTAGATACTGAGGTGCATGTTAATAAAGCTTGAGAAACTATTAGAGCGAATATAAAAATGTCTGCCTAAAACAGTCTAGGTCAGTGGATCTCAAACTTTTTACATCTGAGCCCCTCCTGACAAGAGAAAATACTCTCAGGCCCCCAGCCTGTTTTTTTTATCAAAATAGAAGTCATGGTATGTTTGACGTTTTATTCAGTTTATTTTGTGTTTTTCTACATATTATTTAGCAGTTTTCTTACTCAAAATTAAAGTATCACAATATTAGGCCTACAATAACAATTACTTTTAACACTTGCAATTAACCAAAATATGTATTGAAATGAAACAATACTTAACTAACAAGTATTTAATTTTTTCTGCAAAGAAAATCAAACATTTAAATGTCAAAGTTCAGTGTGATGGATGAGCCTGCTTTTGAGAATAAAGTTTATCAAAACGTGGTGTAATATCAGAAATGGCCACTCTAATTTCTATAGCAATATATAGCCTTGAACGATACTTCGACTTTATAGCTGCCAAATCAGAAAAGCCTGTCTTGCATAAGAAAGTTGTTGCGAAAGGCACTGAAGATCAGGATCTTCAATGCCTTTTGGCTCAAAGTTGAGAATTCCTTGCCAATATGTATCCAGAACTCCAACAAAGACAATTCCTTAAATTTACTTTTTAATGAGGTATCACTAGTGAGATTGATGAGTTGTTCTTGCTCATTTACCTTCAGAGATGATGGCCCAAGAGCATTTTCAAATGGATTTTTAATCCAATTAAATTTATCAAAATCACTGCAAAAGTATTTTTCGAAATGAACTTTCAACATTATGAGATGATCAAGTAGTCAGCTTTTTATGTCCATTGGAAGTACTGGATTATCAGTGTCTTGTACCATTGACACCAGAGTAGGGAACATGTCTAGCATGTCACTTTCCATACTGTTTCTCCAGAGCTCTAATTTTCTCATGAATGTCTTCACTTTGTCATTCCAAGAAAGTACAGTTGCCTCATTCCCTTGAAGTGAAGTGCTGAGGATATTTAGTTTCTCAAATATATTTGTGAGGTAAGCCATTTTCAATAAGAAATCCTTGTTGCTGAAACTGTCTGCCAGTGAGTGATTTTCCCCATTTAAAAAACAGAACACCTCATGCCTCAGCTTAAATATTCTCTTTAATACGTTGCCTCTTGAAAGCCATCAAGCATCACTAAAAAACAACAGAGCAGTGTGTTTGGCACCCATTTCCTCATGCAGCATTTTAAAAAGTCTACACTTCAGAGGATTTCAGAGGATGCTGCTGCTGCTGCCGAACTATCAACACTGTCCCTGGCATAGGCATTTTATAATTGCCGGTAAAGAGAATAATTATTAGTTATTTTGAAATTCATGATAATTAAAGCCTGTACTCATCAAAAGTTTTTCTATATGTATTTTTATTTTTTGTTACTTTTCTAATTGATTTAGGGCAGTTTTAATTTTTATCTGTAGGAAAGTATGCTGCGCCCCCCTTTCAAGCCTTTCGCCCTCCCGCCTGGGGGTTGCGCCCCACAGTTTGAGAACCACTGGTCTAGGTTATTATGAACTGAAGAAGCATAAGCCATGGTTTGATGAAGTATGCTCAAAATCATCAGACTAAAGGAAACAAGCCAAACTGCAGTGGTTACAGGATCCAAGCGAAATAAACGAGGATAATCTGAACAATGCAAGACATGAAACCAGCAGGCATTTCAGGAATAAAAAGAGGGAATATCTGAAAGACAAAATTGATGAGCTTGCAATGAACAGTACGAACAAGAACATTAAAGACCTGTATAGCGGTATAAATGACTTCAAGCGGGGTTACCAACCTAGAAGTAACTTAGTGAAGGATGAGAATGGTGATCTGCTTGCAGATTCAACATTTGCTCCAAGCTGTTTAAGATGCTACGGTGGTGATATTCACAGATGACACAAATATGTTACTCACTGAGTAAACCTCCCATTGTTTAAAGAAAAACCAGCAAAAGTCATGAAACAATTAGAAAACTGGTTCCTAACAAATAATCTATATATATAAAAACTGAAAAGACGACTAAAGCAGTACTATTACAGGCAAGAGGATCTAGTTTAACTCATGGACCCATTCCGTATCTAAAGAATAAAGAAATAACTTACTCATCAAATTTAAAATTTTTAGGTATTTATATCACAGATAACATAAGCTGGGACACTTATATACTATAGCTTTGCCATAAATTAAACAAAGCTCTTTATTTGATTAGACCCATATGAGACTCACTAAGTTTACCAGTAATAAGAAATGTTTATTTTACTAAATTTGAATCTATACTGAAATCTGGTATCATTTTTAGCGGGGAGGAGTAAGTAACAGCAATACAGTTTTAAATTACAAAGAAATAGGTCTAAGGCTCATTAAAGGAGTGAAAAACAGGGTGTTCTGTAGAAGTCTGGTGAATTTAAGATTTTAACAATAACTTCTTTATATATATAGGAATTATGTCACCGTCAACACAACAAATATTCAGTTTAATTTTTGATCTTATACTGCTACATGTTTTGGACACATAAGCCCACCATCAGACAGTTGTACACAGAAATACGCAGTCACTGAAATACCGATATGGATTCTTATCAGTGCAACGTGTCGTGTTATGTATAAAACTCTTGCCTCAAGTTGATGTTATAATAAAGTAGCAAATACATAAATAAGATAAAAGACAAATATAAGGGTATATCGTATATCAAATTATAATGTGTAGAAATGCTATAAAATATTTAAAATGTTGAGAAATGTGAAAGGTTTCCAACGATAGGTTGAAAATTGTATTCCAACTTAAATATTTTAGGTTTCACCGCTGAAGTGTACAAAATAAGCTGCCACCATACAATCACAGGCCGATCACGGTGGCTGCGCGGTCTAAGGCACAAAATGTCTTTGCCTGCTTCAAAGCTGGGACCGTGTTTTTGAATCCCACTCGAAGCATGGCTGTTTGTCTTTGTTTATTCTGTGTTTCTATTGTACTTTACAGGTAGTGGCCTTGCATCAGGATCATCCCCCATCCAAGGAGTCCTATCTGCTGTATAAAACTAAGAAACTTAAGTGACACGAAGCATTTCACGGATGCCCTATGCCCCAAGTTGGAGAAACAGGGATGGATGGATGGATGGATGGATATTATCATAGAGGAACTTATACACTGCTTTCAAGGAAGGAGGAAACTTTGCTATGCAGCTGACCACACCCAAAATTCCTTGCAGATTGCTGCTGTAACTGCTGATAGTAGAATGAGTCATTAGCACTGATAAACGCTCAGGTCAGGTGGCGCTATCTTGTCACTGCACTTAAGTCGCAGTAGTCTGTGTTACAGATGTCTATACGCGATGGACACATACAGAATGTGCCAGACTTTGGGAGGGTCTTCCTTATGTTAAAGTATGCCGATATAACCTATGTCCAAAGTTGAATGGTTACGGAGATAATGGCCAGAGAAGTGTGAAACTTTGACAGGTGTTACACACTTGTTGATTATCAAATACATATTAAAACTGGCAGGAATATGTGGTTTCTGTAATGTTAATAATGTACGTAACATCAAACTAACTTGTGAGTGACATGAAGCCTTTAAATTGAACTACAAAAGAACTCGCACGCCATGTCATAGTTGTCGTTGTACATGACACATGAATGGCAAGGACTGATGTAACATGGCTGACTGCGCATTCTGGTATGCGAGTGTATGCGGCTAGTGAGGGCCATCATCATCACACTCAAGGACAAACATCGATAAGACTTGTAAGCTGACAAGTACAGTGCGTGGACCTGCCAGAAGACCACACTTTTCTCAGGCCATTATCTCCATAACTGTTCAACTTTGGACATAGGTGTTTTGGGTTATATCGGCATACTTTAACATAAGGAACACCCTCCCGAAGTCTGGCACATTCCTCCTGGGACACTCTGTATATGAGATCTTATGCTTTTACAAAAGAACAAGATCTACACAATTCATTATTCTGACATTCACAAGTATAACACTAAAGGAAAAGAGGATTTGTATATACAAACACGCAACACGGTTAGTTGCAAAATAAGTGCAATTAACAAGGGAATTAAAATATAGCTTGCCTCCTGAACTGAAAAGAATAGAAAATTTAAAGTTTTAAAAATAAATTAAAAAGTGATTTATTACAAAACTCTTTTTATTGTCTGCAGGAGTTTTTAGTAACAATGATGGAAGGTAGTTTGGTGGCTCAGGTTGGTTCTGATGTGGTGTGGCTGTATATAGATGGTATAAGTGTATGTGTTGCTTTACGTATATATTGGATTGTTGGGGGATGTCATCCTGGGTTGCTAGATTCAGCAGGGGGACAATGATCCTATGTATTGTTCTTAGTCTTGCGTATCATTTTGTACATTTTTAAGAGTTGTTGACTTGTTTAAACTGACTTGTTCAATTGTACTTGTTTATCAGTTTGTGGACGTAAATAGGTTATGAATTATGAACATTTTGAATAGGTGGAAGAATTATTTCTCTCAGTTATTGAATATACATAGTGTCAGTGATGTTATACAGATAAAATACATACAGCTGAGCCATTAGTACCTGATCCTAGCTCTTTTGAGGTTTAAACTGGTACTGAAAAATTGAAAAGGTATAAATCATCAGGGAGTGATCAAATTCTGGCAAAACTTATTCAAATAGGAGGTTAAATATTATGTTGTAAGATCAATAAGCTACTTAATTCTATTTGGAATAAGGAAAAATTGCCTGATCAATGGAACAAGTCTGTTATTGTACCACTTCACAAGAAGAGTGATAAAACTGACTTTAGTAGATACTGGGGAATATCACTGCTATCAACTTCATACAAAATGTTATTCAATATTTTTCTCTCATGGTTAAGTCCATACATAGATGAAATTATTGGGGATCATCAGTGTTGGTTTCAATGTAACAGATCAACTGCTGATCAGATCTTTTCCACTCGTCAGATACTAGAGAAAAAATGGGAGTACAGTGAGACAGTACTTCAGCTATTCATGGACTTCAAGAAAGCCTATGATTCAGTTGTACAATATTCTGATAGAGTTTGGTGTACCCATGAAACTAGTTAAGCTGATTAAAATGTGTTTAAACGAAACGTATAGTAAAGTCCGTGTAGGTAAACATTTGTCTGATAAATTTCCTATCCAGAATGGTCTAAAACAAGGAGATGCTTCATCGCCACTCCTTTTCAACTTTGCTTTAGAATATGCCATTAGGAAGGTCCGTGAAAACTAGGTGGGACTGAAATTAAATGGGATACATCAGCTGTTGGTCTGTGCAGATGATGTGAATCTACTGGGCGATAATATAGATACCATAAAGAGAAACATACAGACTTTAATTGAAGCTACTAAGGAGGCTGGTCTAGGGTAAACACAGAGAAAACTATGCATATGTTGCTGTTTCATCACTCAAATGCAGGGCAAAATCACAGAATAAAGATAACTAAGAGATGTTTAAAAAATGTGGCACAGTTCATATATTTGGGAATGACCATAACAAAACAAATTCTTATTCAGGCGGAATTAAGATGAAATTAAATTTAGGTAATGCTTGCTACCATTCAGTCCAGAACACTTTGTCTTCAACTCTGTTGTCCAAAAACATAAAAATTATAATTTTGCCTGTGGTTCTGTATGGGTGTGAAACTTGGTCTCTGATATTACGGGACGAACATTGACTGAAGGTGTAAGTTTTGAGGTTTTCACGGCGATGACTATGGAGAAAGTCGTCTTCTGCATTACGCTACTGCTCTCTGCATTCACAAGCCATTCACCTGCTATGAAGATGGAGGCGATACGTTCCTCCGAAACGTCGGCCAAAACGAAGAATACACGGCGCCAAAACCCAGAAGATGACTTTCTCCATAGTCTGAAGGTGTTTGAGAACAGGGTGTTGAGGATAATATTTAGACCAAAGAGAGATGAAGTCACATGAAGTTGGAGAAAACTGTGTAATAAGGAGCTTCATAACTTGCATAATTAGAATGATCAAGGCAAGGAGATGAGATTGACAGGGCATGTAGCACGAATGGGGGCGAAGAGGAATGCATATAGGATATTGGTGGGAAAGCCAGAAGGAAAGAGACCATTTGGAAGACTGAGACATAGGTGGGTGGACAATAATAAAATGGATTTTAGAGAGATAGGATGGGATGGTATGGATTGGATTGATTTGGCTCAGGATAAGAACCAGCAGAGGGTTGCTGTGAACATGGTAATGAGCCTTCGGGTTTCATAAAATCCTGGGAAGTTCTTGAGTGGCAGCTTCTCAAGATGGGCTCGGCTCAATGAGTGATGACGATGCTGATGAGACACTAAGGTTTTGTAGCTAGAATACTATTTCAAATAAAAAAAATAGCCCCAATACAAAAACACTTATGTAAGGACACTGTGTGTTTGTACATTTATTGCATGTATCCTATGGTGCACTTCCGTGAATATCCCTTCACTCTGTTATAACAGTGATAACAAACATCCTACCTCCCCTATTAGTCTGTTATAAAGAGGGTTTACTGTATAAAATAATGGATCATTTAGACATTTCGTACATCTGTGTGAACTGTGGATGGATCCGTTGAAAGGCCTCTACACAGACTACCATGATACAAAGAACACACGACGTATATTCATGCCCATTGCATGATTTTAAATTGCAGTACCAGTACTTGAGCAGTCCAATACCATAATATGCCTTAGACAATGGGGCTACTATAATAATTATTTTTGTTTGTATACTATTAAATACATTTGGTGTCAGAAAACAAGACAACCCTTATATTTTATCAAGGCACTCTGAAGTAGGCTGTCAGCATTAAAAGAATGAAGTTCGTATTGGATGTTGGATAGACACTGCATTTAATTTATCTGAGTTGGTAAAAAGATGATTCCCATTATAGACCTCAAATATATGAAAAAAATAACAGTTAATAATTCTGTTATTATTAAGCAACTTTAACTTACATATCTCCTATCATAAGTGTTCTCTCAGGTTTGATAGGATGTATCTTGCTGATAAACTCTTTGACTAACACACTAGGTTTCCCTGTCACCAGAGCCTTGCGACCAGACACCTCCTCAATAGGTGAGATAAAACATCCAGGACCTGTCAACATAACAGACCAGAATCCAATTAATTAATTAATTGTATCTGTATCTTTAACATGGGTTATTTTTATTCCTCTGATTCTTTTTTATATAGAGTGTTGTAAACCTTAGGAGGAGTATGAGGTTCCCATTTTTTTGATCAATAACACTTTTTACTACCAAATTACACAAATGCTTTTATGCAATAAGAAGTTGTTGTTGACCACCCAGAAAGCACTACAAGGTTGTCAGATGTGAGGTATCATCAGAACCAAAATGACATGGACTGGACTTCACTTCCATGTTTTTCAACTAAAATTTTTTGTAGTTCTCTCATCTCTCCCCTGCATGACCTATCTCGTTCTCCTCGATTTGTTCGCCCTAGTAATATTTAGTGACAAAAGAGCAAATTATGAAGATCCTCATTATGTTGTTTTCTATGTACTCCAATTACTTCTTCTCTGAAGACGACTGTTAGGTTTTAAGTCCACAGACTGCTAAGGTTATACAGAACTGCCAATTCAGAAAACATATCAAGTATTTCTTTGTAGCCTTGGCTATGCCTTCTGATGATGGCCAGATGTGACCAAAACATGTTGAGGCAATCTTTTATACTAAACTTATTGCACTTGATGGACCTTGCTACTTGCTACTCATTCATGTAGTAAGAAGTGTAACAGCTCAAGATGTCTCTTATAAACTCATACTTACCTATTTCTCTAACAACTGTTTTAAGTGAACCTGTCTTATGGAAGCTCCTTACACTCCATGTGCCAAATGTCATGTCCACATTCCTTTGCTTAGTTCACTCCACAGAAACCATCCAAGTCAGAGGCCCTGTGTAATATTTCATAACAAGCTGTTTTTCTTGTGGTGACAGATATTAGCATCATGTCCAACACTCAAGCTGGAGGACCATCGCTTGCTCACTGTCTGCATACGCTTATTCAAATATTTGTAGTTACCTTCCATACCTAGAGGTTGTCTCCTCTATCCACTGCCTGATGGAGTGCCATGCCATGGTGCGAAAGACCCACTTAGCATGGCATCATTCTAAACAGGTAGATCTATATGTACCTCTATCAGCAAAGAGACAATATGGGCTCCTGAAATGTACACCTCATCTAGAATAATGACAGCACCTTAATACTTGCCTATATTACTGATAGCATATTGAACAGGTGTAGTAGGTATAGATTCTTTTAGCATCAAAAGGACACTCTAAATTCCTGAGATGTAAGACTTACCTAGAATACTGATGGCAGCATGACGCTCAACTACAACACATCATTCTGAACAGGCATATGTACTCACCTAAAATACTGAGTCCACTCTGAGAAGGTACACGTACATCTACGCCTCCAGCAACAAACAGACAATCTGGATTCTTGAGATGAAACACTGCTTTCATCATCTTGATGAAGTTGATGTTCATATCAAAATCTATGACTACAGCTCCCACTTCTTCATCCAAATCTTGCAGCTCATTTGCAAGATCTCGTATGGTTTTCACAGCATGGTCAGGCTGTACAAACATTCAAGTAAATTGCTTCATTATCACCTGATGTCCCAATTACAAAATCAAATGTGCAGATTTGAATTCACTAAGTATCACTAGTGCCACTGCTTTTACATTAATTCTTTCACTCTTATGAATGTTACTTTCTTGCAGATATGACTTGCTACTATTAATTTTAAACTGATTTTCTTATCTGCAAGGAGAGACAGAGAAAACCTATAAAATATATCAAGCTGGGAAGCAGCCTGGCCAGGATTTGAACACAGTATTTCCTGAGTACAAATCTAAAGATTTATGATTACAAGAATCTGTTTGGTTACATTATTCAAAATATATGCATTTATGTTTGAATAATGTGAAGCAACCAAGTTAGAATTTGTCATGACTAATAAATGTTGAACTATTTGGAGAACAACAGGAAATAAATATCATGTGAGAAATGAGAAACAAGCCAAATATATGAGAAAAGTTCAATAGTATATTAATAACATTTATTCAAGAACTTCTACTGCATATGTACTTTAAAACAAAATGATCTCTTTCCACCATTAACAGGATGTATGTTTCTAATTTCCCTAATCTTGGGATTACTTTTCTGAAAAACCAAAATTTAATAAGCATTCCAATTACCTACATGGCCTGAAATATACCTTAAATTTCATGTACACATTTTAGTCACTACATAAATAATGTATACATGTAAACAGGGATTCCAAAATTAGACACATCAATTTTATTTATAACGTGGATAATGAAGCTGCTTTCCAAAACCCACTTTATACTGATGGTCTATTGTAATTACATTACATTCTCTATTTATTTACATGCTTATCCAATAGTCAAATGGCAATTATAAAGTAGGCACTAGCAAAGAGACAAACAAAACAAACACACAAAATAAACTGTGGGGGGTTTTTGTCTTTACTCCGATGACAACCCACTTCTTTGGAAAAGTTTGTAGGTCCTGAAAAGGACTGTTGGCTGCTGGGATGTTTGGCTGGTGAAGTAGCGCTACGTATGCCAGTAGGAGAGAGATGCTGGTTGCGGTGTGTTGTGTTGACTGGCCGCAGTGCAGCCGTTGCTGGAGGTTGCTTGATCGCAGTGCGGCAGATGGTGGAGGTTGCTTGATTGCAGTGCGGCAGCTGCTGGTGGAGGTCTGGTTGTCGAGTGCGGTCACTGGAGTGGAGAGGCAGCAGCTACGCCAGATGCCCAGTAAGTCGGGCATGACCGCTGGCGAGCTGAGGCAGCCCAGTGAGTCGGGCATGCCGTCGGAGAGGCGAGGTGGCCATTCCTGGCGCAGCCGAGAGCCGAAGACTCCGAAGACCGAGCGCTGGCGACGAAGTGTGCTGGCTGATGTTCACTGCTTGAAGACTGCTCGTCGACTGATGCTGCCGGGTTGGAGCTGCTCCTTTTTATACAAGTGTGATGGAGGAGCGAAAATTGGCTGAGCGCTGATTGGCTAGCGCACATAATGATGTAGATGCGGGCTAGCAGCAAGCGCTGTATAAATGCAAACGTCAGAGGCAATTTGATTGGTTAGCGCGTGTGATGGTGAAAAGTGAGTTGAATGGTGAGCATTGTAGAAACAGTGCGATATGTGGGATGTTCCCATAAAATGATAAAACAAGGCAATGTGTACCACTTAGATCATTCAATTATCACAATCACGCCAACCATGACGTGGTAGTGTTCAGGAGAGAAGCCCACCTGCCCTGTGACCTTTTTACCCAATGCTGCCCCAGCAAGGAGGGACCAACCATCAACCACACTTTGGACCTCATGGATCAGCTACATGACATCCACAAGTACATCAACTAAGATCTGAAACTGGCAGTGATGGTATGAAAACACAGCAGAAATCAAAGCCTGAGCTGTGTGCAGATCTTGTGAAAGGATAATTCATAATTTATTTACATCCATAAACCGTTACACAAGTACAATTGGACAAGTCAGTTTAAGCCATCTAAAACACAAGTCAACAACTCTTAAAAATGTACACAACAGTACACGAGATCACGAACAATACAATCATTTTAGGATCACTGTCCCCTTGCTGAAGCTAGCAACCCAGGACAACATCCCCCAACAATCCAATATATAGCAACGCATACATTTATACCATCTATATACAGCCACACCACATCAGAAACAACCTGAGCCACCAAACTACCTTCCATCATTATTATTAAAAAACTCCTGCAGAGAATACAAACAGCTTTATAATAAATAACTTTTTAATTAATTTTTAAAAACTTTAAAATTTTCTATTCTTTTTAATTCAGAACTGATATAGGCATGGCACAGCCAACTAAGTTCGATGGATCAAAATCATGGGTCATATTTCAACGGCATTTCATGACAGTGCTGGAGCACAACTACTGGATACCCAGCGAAAAAGCCTCATATCTGATTGTTGACTTTAATGAGCCAGCTGCACACATCCTACATGGCATCCCTACTAGAGCAACATATGTTGACGAACAATTTTCAGTAACATGCTATATGTTCAATATATATCTTTGACAAAGGCCAAGCATATTAATGGGACAAGCCTATGTTCATGTCAGAGAAGGTGTTACACACAGTTAAGGGTTCAGTCTGGGAGGGAAGCCTGGTCGTGAGCCTAGAGAGGTTTTGTGCCAAGATGAACTGATTAGAGGTAAACCACCAGTCATAAAGTGCCTCTGACTCTGACAGTCATTCGTAAGTTGACATTGTGGATTGCAATCCAGCATTGCATTGTTAACAGGTGTTATCTAATATTATATATTAATATTCAAATAGTCCTGATCAGCACAGAAAAAAAAAACAGAGGAGGAACGACAACAATTTATGTCTTAAATTGAAAGCGGAAAGTAGTAAACTTACACAGTCAATGAACAAGATTAATGTAGAAAGAGAGAGTAAAAAAATTGATGCTTACTCCAACATCACTACTACATATGATCCCATTAGATTCAAAAATTTCTTTGAAAGCTGAAGATGCAAGGATGTATGCTTTCTTTCTGAAGTTTTGTTCCCTGAAATATGATGCTGCCACTAGTGAAGGGAAGATAATTTCATCCTGCAAGAAATGAATGCCATATTACACCACATGAAGAAAACAGAAACAAATTACTTAAAATGAAAACCCTGAACTATAAATCATACATAAAAATATTCTGTGAAGAACATATAATGTCCTCTTTATTATAAATTCTTTATAAAACAAGAGAAATTATAAATTAATAACGATGTAATTTGTAATGAATGTATTTACATATTTCTGCTATGGCGAGATTACCTTGAGCCCACTGCAAATCATACGGCTGCTTAGGTGGAAAAGACAAACACTCCTCATGTAAACTCGGTCCAGACACAGATACACAGCATAAATGATAAATCTATAGCCTATACACATTACAATTTCTCTTCAATATCACCTCATTGAATCACTGAATGGGTACTGTGAAGTGATCTTTATTGTTTGCATCCTGTTGTGTGTCATGATGTGCTTTCTTTTGGGCATCAACATAACAAAATTATAAAAATTAAACCAATCTAATATCCCTCTGTTGCACTGTCTTTATTTAATGACTGTGACATGTTCTGATCCATATCTGGATCATCATCTGGCAGTAATCTTAAATGTGTCAAATGTTACTGAACTATCCTGATACGGATTCATATTAGTATTAATTGATAAAATCGTTATGATATGTTTAAATTTGGCTATAATTTTTTAAACTTTTGTTCTGTCATTAGATTATACCAATACATATTATTTACTTTCAGACACAAACATAACAAATCCCAAAAGATACCATCATCTACAATATATGACAAGAAACACTGAAATCAAAGGCTGCACCACAGCGCAAGCAGTTAGTCGCTGGCTTCCCAATGCGGCAGCTGGGGTTTGAGACCGGGCCTGGTCAAGTGGGATTTGTGGTTGACAAAGTGGCGATGGGGCGGGTTTTCTCCAAGTACTTCGGTTTCCCCTGCCAATCTTCATTCCACAAAATTCACAATCATCATAATCACCCAGGGCAGGCCAACCAGTGGCCGTTGTGCCGAGTGGACCCAGCTGGACTCCACCCCCTACTAAGCGAATTTGAAATTTAAATTTAATGCCGAAACCAACATCATAATGATGGAGAAAACAAAATAGCCAAAATGACATGTACCATTACGATTTTAACAATCTTCTTGTTTTAGACCATTCTGGATAGGAAATTAATCAGACAAATGTTTACCTACACGGACTATACTATAGGTTTCGTTTAAACACATTTTATCAACCTAACTAGTTTCATGGGTATCCCAAACTTTATCAGAATATTGTACAATACTTGTTTCCTAACTGAATCATAGGCTTTCTTGAAGTCCATGAATAGCTGAAGTACTGTCTCACTGTACTCCCATTTTATCTCCAGTATCCGACGAATGCAAAAGATCTAATCCCACACTGATGATCCCCAATAATTTCATCTATGTATGGACTTAATCTTGAGAGAAAAATATTGGATAACATTTTGTATGAAGTTGATAGCAGTGATATACCATGATAATTACTACAGTCAGTTTTATCACCCTTCTTGTGAACTGGTATAATAATCCAATACCTGAGAGTAGTTCTTCCACCTATTCAAAATGTTGTGGGAATCTGTAAGCAGATCAGCATTCTCATCCTTCATTAAGTTACTTCTAGGTTGGTAACCCCTCAAGTTATATATTCCTGTATACAGGTCCCTTGTTCTTACTGTTCTTTGCAAGCTCATCAATTTTGTCTTTCAGATATTTCCTCTTTCTATTCCTGAAATGCCTACTGGTTTCACGTCTTATATTGTTCAGATTATCCCCATTTATCTCACTTGGATTCTGCAACCACAGCAATTTAGCTTATTTTCTTTGGTCTAATAATTCTGAGCATCCTTCAAACCCAGAGAATACTCTAAATCTGAAGACCAAGTGTAGTAGATGCATCTATTTCATTGCCTACATTGGCTGGGTGACCAAGCTCCTAGCCAGGTGCTTGCTTTGGAGTTCTGTGAAGCAAGGTATGTGTTCTGACTCTACAGCATGATCTCTACTGTTTGCAACCTGTTGTGTATCATTAAGGATATTAATGTGACCATCAACACAGAAATCTGAGTAAATGAAACTAATATTAATGTGAAGAAAGCAGTCTTCTGGGATGTGGCACCGTGTAGATGTGGTGTTAACCGAAGTTTCTTTCCTCCGAAACGTCAGTTAACACTGCATCTACACAGTGCCACATCCCAGAAGACTGCTTTCTTCATAGTCACCGCCGTGAAAACCTCAAATCTAATATTAATGTGTTAATATTTGATTTTTTTATACATATATTATTAAATTGTTTGAGTAACATGGTAGTAAATACTAAAAGTAGGTCAAGCACAGATGTCATCAAAGACATATATATAACATTGTGACATGACGCCTGAAAGCCAGAAAGGCGGAGCCAGAGTAATGTTCATTACTAGGCAACAACTTTGTAAACAGGTTCCTGCAGCAATGAATGAGCAAGCAACAATCGATGTATTGTTGAGCTATAACGAAGGAAATTGTGTTTTCTGTTGGATCTGACTGAAGGCTATGTAGCGATGATCCAAGGTTGGTTGAGAATAGAACTGAGGGAGTCTCTTGAGGTGGTAGTCAAAGAAGATGGAGAAGAGATGGCAAGAAAGGAATTAAGACTGTGGAAAGACTTCATGTATACTGCAGTTACAGTTAGACTGGTATAATTAAAGCTATCCCTCTAACAGACCGTGAAGGCCCATTGGGTTGTGAGACGTTGAGGTTCCCACATTTTCTAGACAATCGGCTCACAGATGGCGGTGAGGTTGTCAGCCTTACACACTCTCTGCCCTTTACCTCCATGAATATTCCTGGTACTTATCTCTGTCAGAGGCTGAGTTGACCCCAGGGTCACAGTGCAGCTGGAAGGGTTAGGTAAATTTGAAAGAAAAAAATCCACCTCATTGGGACTTTAACCCACAACTTTCTGCCTGATAGCATAATGCCTCAACCAACTATGCTGTTGCATGCCCCTAGACTGGTATAATTACCATGGTGAAATCGATTGCCAGGATAAGACTAATGAAGATTGAGAACCCTAGTTGTATCTGTAATGGTGAACTGTAAAATGTATAGATCAGTGATACAGCTATAACTGCCTATAGTTCTGAGTGGTGTGTATAAGTGGTCAATAAATCCAATCATCCAATCCAAAGCCCATCTAATAGTCACATATACAAGCGACAATATATATGAATGAATGAATGTATAAGGGGTGGGCCTTGTTGGCCCTTGCACTGTGACCACAGTGATCTATTGTGCCTCCCTTTTTGATTATCCCCTCAACAATCCTGCGCTTTGAATGAAGTGCAGGATTTTGTATGTGGGGACGCTGAAATAGTCACTTGGTTCCATAAAATATTGACCCAAGTGGCACAATCTTAAATAAGCTAAGGCCTCACATTCACACAGGATATGTGTGGCTGTTTCATTTTCTTCTTGACACCGCTCACAAGTTGGACTGTTACTTAGTCCCAATTAGAAGAGGTTGTCTTTGAGGTGACAGTTTCCTGTAAGTAGTCCTACCACCCAGCGTAGCTCGTTCCTCATCTCTCCAGCAAAGTCAAGTACCTTGGTCTAGTATTAGACAAGGGACTGACATGGAAAAAGCAGCTGGATAAGGTCATTAATAAAGCCTATAAGGTTTTTTGGACATGCAGAAGCATGTTTGGTAAAACTTGGGGACTGCAGCCACACGTTGTGCATTAGATATACAATATACATACTAAAAAATCAGAAAATGGATGGAATAACCAACAATACATAGTAAAGAGAATATCATAAGATTCATGAGAAGAAAGTGTTCAAAAGATATACCACATCCTGTGTATGCAATGCACATCCAATCACTAAAAATTCTACAGACCTGCTGCTACACAATATTATTTACAAATGATAGTTGCCATCTCCAAAGGCATATATAACACTGACTTGCACACCAAGACCATCCGACTACATTCTACTTTATCAATTCAATTAATTTTTAATATTTTAATTCTTAACTTCTTAACATTTAACCTTTAACAAACCATAAGACAGTTACATGATACATATTCAAATTTAAAGAAAATACTAAGAAATTCAATGACAGTATACAGCTGTGAAAACCACCTGAAGATAATTACATTGACTGAAACATGTAGTGGTATGTATAATAAAAACAAATATGAACACAATAATATTAGTTTCATTTACTCATAGATTGTCATGGTGATACCCACTTCAGTATCCCTCCTGCAGTATGAGGAAATGATTCTTGTATGGTTTCCACATTAATACCTGGATATTTTTCTTACAATACTCACATGCAGTCATGGAAGTTCACACACACACATACAGAAAGATTGAAAAATTATGACAAGTCCTAGTTGCCAAATTAAAAATTAATCGTTACCACAAAGCCCCCACCTCCCCTTAGAAAAATCTGCCACAGCTAAAATAATGGATCATCAAGCTCTATAATTATCAATTTCTAATTCCAGATAATCTCATACTGACTGAATTATACAAAATGAAGTTCTTTCCACAGCCTTTGTTTTCCATGTTTTTTTCCCCCCTTGGCACTACAGCCCCAGTGGGCCTAGGCCTACCTCCATGAACTTCTCCGTTTACTTCGGTTTTTCTAGATCTTACACATTTGGTAGGACTCATTGGGCGGGTGATCAGCTCGTCACAAGGCCTCTGCCTGTACACAAACACAGAAAAACGCACACACACAAAATAAACATCCCTGCCCTGAGTGCGATTCAAACCCATGATCCCGGTTTCCAAGTGAGCGAAGACAGTACATGCCTTAGACCGCTTGGCTACCGTGACCGGCTTGTCTTCCATGTACTAACACAAAGATTAGCCTATATAATTGTCCTACCTCTGCTACATGTAGCCCAAATGTGTTAATTTTGTTCATATATTGATTCACAGTTGAATTACAATTATTTGTGACAAGGAACACTTTCTTCCCAAGTTCCTTCAGTCTGTTAATAACTTCTACTGACCCTTCCAGTGGGGTATTTTCAAACCACAACACACCTGAAATAATGCAAACAAATATACAGATTCCAAAAAAAAAGCCGAGAAACTATGTGATATCTGTATTCATATCACACACCACAATTCTGCTGTCAGTTAATTCACAAATTCAACACTGCATTATCATTTGCAGAGATAATTTAATATTGAATGAGAATGATGGATTAGGAAGGGCTGGAGAGCAATGGTCAGCTTACTTCAAAGTATCATTCTGGCATTCTTCTGGAGAAACACTTAGGAAACCTTAGTCAGGATAGTGTGGGATGTCAGTTCCGGCAGCATGAGAGCCAACCATGTAAATTTCTATAACAAATATTTATTGTTGTTAGAAGAGTATACAGATAAGCAGTCAGGCAGTGCGGTAACCAGTGAGGTGTTGTGGGCCCTGAAAAGGGCCATATTTCTATGGCAGAGTGTTGGGTAACTGATGAAGTGTTGTCTCATTTGTTCTCTACTTGCATAGTTGGATAATGAAAAGGTCAATTTTCATGGTCCCAACATAAATAGGCAGATAAATTTATATTTATGCTATCAGTATCATATTATATTACTCCGAAGGAATTTTCACTGCTTATAGCAACCGTTTGATAAATGCAAGGGTGAAGTTGACCTTGCGTGGGTATGGACCATGTTATAAAGATGTCCTGGGGTAAAGTAAAAGTAAAGCTATCCCTGTAAGAGGCCATGAAGGCCCATAGGGTTGAGAGACCTTGAGGGTTGCACATTAACTAGACAATCAATTCAAAGACAGCTGTAAGGTTGTCAAGCCTTATGCGCCGGCTGCGCTTCACTCCCTAGGAAAATTTCATTACTTCCTGGTACTCATTTCTGTTAGAAATGAGCCATAGTGCGGCTGGATAGATTAGGTCAACTGAAAAAAATGCAATGACCTCATCGGGACTTGAACCTACAACCATCTAGCTTGTAGCATAGCCCCTCAATGAACTACACTACCGCATGCTCCCGATGTCCTGGGGTATGAAGAAAAAGTACCACACATTACAGACCTTGGCATTTCTTAAAGCTTATACAATTATTGTTTATAATGCAACAGTGCTTGAAAATCTGTAGTTTTATTACCTAGGCATTTGCCTTCAATCATCATAAAATGGTAAGGTTCTTACTGATAAATTCCAAAGGAAGAAAGAGGATTAACTATTACAACCGATTTTCTTTAAACTGGTTATTCTTTTAATACTGTAAATTTACACTCATCCTTCACAATACAAGAGATAGGAGACCTTTAAGTTTTCAAAATGTTAATAATACTGGGCATTGCAAGAATGACTTGAACAAACCTGTGGAGTTAAACACACAACTTCACTAAAAACATGGAATAACTTACAAGGTGGAGTTTGTGCTTATTTTACGTGGTTTGACATATAATACATAAACAACCACCTTACCATCACAATCTGTCAAAACAGTATCAAAAGATGCAAGAAAATCATCCATTTCTTCTTTTCTAAAATCCGAAAGATCGCGGAGATATTGTGTCATATTAAATGTACAGACACAATTCTTCCCAAATACCTAACCTAGTTTACGGTTGGGGGCAAATTCTATACGAAATGCAAACTTGCTCCCACTGTCGTTATACAACTAACACCTGAAAATTAATGTTTCTGAGGGCAGAACTGTATACTTCGACGACTTCCACTGTTACCTATCGCTATTACTAAACTCAGCAAATCAGTGCTTCAATTACTGCAATCATGCCTAACACATTTTCCTCATGCCCCTGATAACATCCAAGGTCGTATGCGTTAGTATGTTACACATTCCTTGTACGCCTTGTACGTCTCCTACCCCGTTCTACCCTCACACCCCGGCTCGTAGCCGGCCGGGGAATTGCAAGACCGGCCAAGACCGCCAAAGACTCTCATACCACGTGTTTCTATTGACACTTTGATTCACGTGTTTTCCTTCACCAATCACAGATGACCAATGATGAAATGACGTTAGTGATCGTTAGTGATCTTAGTGGCGAGGCGAAGAAGCGTTACTGCCAAACACAAAGTAGTTTCCGTAAGTACTGAAACATTAATTTCAATTGGTAGCGTCTTGTAGCTTAGGCGTAACGCTTGTGCAGTTCAATGTGCTCGATGCCTAAGCACGTTGAACCCACCCATATGACTGACATAACGTATGTTAGAACAGCATACGAAAGCGATAAAATGCTACTATTTGGAACGTAATAATTAAGATATTTTTGTCGACCATGTTTAATGAAAATCACGCATCTTTACTAGTATATATGAATATAAAATTAAGCAGTACATGAAACCGGATCCGAAATTAAACACTTCAGGCTGAGATTGTCGTGGACATCATGTGTGCAATGTTATGTTATTTTGCTAAGAAGCTGGTTAACTCGTATATAATTTGCTCACATTTCTCTGAAGAAATTTAAGAGGTTAGTAAGAATTTCCCGCATACATTTTCCATGGAAGTTATAAAAAATTTCTTTCATGCTTTGTTATAGTTTTGGAATTTCAGATGATTGTAAATATTTAAACCATGAAATTTGTAAGATTTGAGGTTTTCACGGCGGTGACTATGAAGAAAGCAGTCTTCTGGGATTTGGCACCGTGTATATGTGGTGTTAACCGATGTTTCGGAGGAACGTATCGCCTCCATCTTCAGGGTAGAAAGAAAAATATAAGAAATCCGCAGGTGAAGAGACCGTAAGAACTGGTACAAGCAGTCCTGTTATTTTTTATTTGTCTTTAAGAACACTGGTAAGACTGGATATCTGGAGTGTGTAGTCCTGTAGGTGGCACATGCTGCCTCCATCTTGAGGGTTGAAGTGTGACATTTCAGCTCTGAATGTGGAGACAGACTTTCCCTCTGAAACCTCGGTATCCACCCAAAAACTGCATGATATAACAAACTGGAGGACCACAATATGAATAATCACTGCCATGCATTCCTCAGGTCAACTTAATGATACACTGTGCTGAATGTGAAATGGCTTGGTAAGAATGATGAATTTGGGAGAATGAGAGCTAGTTACATAGTTTTTATAAAGTACTAAACATGCCTGCCTTGAGGGTTTGAGAAAACCGCGAAAAACCTGTAAAGATAACCACCAAGTAGCATTGACAATAGTCAGACCAAGTATATTTGATATACATAGCAGTTTGCAAACTGGTACCATTTCTATCATCATGAGTAAGGAGGAAAGGATCTTGCTCAGGTGGAGTCATTAAAAGAGCCATTCTTGATCGCTGATGACAGAGAGAGATCCAGTTTCCAGTTCCTCAGATAGTGGACAATGTCCAACATAATATTTGTGTAATTCAGTTTCAGCTTATGGTGGTTTCTATATAATTTGCATTGCTTAGTTTTATATTTATATTCTGCTTATAACTTCTTTCATTGTTGAATGATTGGGAATAGATATTTCTAATGGGCCCAATCAAGTAGAATCATTTCCCTTCTTACATCTGATGATGAAAGTGGATCCAATTTCCAGACCACTGTATATATCAAATACTCATATGTCTCAGACAAGAGACATTGCCCAACATAATATATATATAATAATAACTCAACCTGGAGAGAATCAAAACTAGGTGCTATCTGATTACCATTATCACCATGCTAAATCTAATTGGCATCGATTTTAGTTATGTCTTACAGTATGTTAAAAAAAAAGCTTTCATATGAGTGAACCTGTGATAAAAGGTGAATGAACTTTGCCACTAGTAATGTAACTAGAAAAGTATGCTTTTGGCAAGTTAAAGTGGTTTTGTCAGTTAGTGACAGAGAAACACATTCAACTTCCCTCCCATTGGAGGTTTTCCCGCATTTACTGTGGTCTATAGTTTTGATTTTTACTTGTCATTACTTTAGTCAAGACACTTGTTTCAGAATCCTGAGTCACTAGAAATATGGGTCCTGAAGGAAGCTCTGGTAGTATAAAGGATGCAGCAATTGATTTCTCTGCAGGATCATTAGGTATGCTGAAAATCTTGACATACTATATACATATATGATAGATGTGAAATGTGAAACCCACATACTGATCAGCATAATTAAGTGGTGGCATTTAATGAAACATATCTTATTAGTGTATTGAACATTACTCAACCCATGGAACAGGGTTTCCCATGAACAGTCAGTCAAGATTTAGCATAAGAGATATTTTATTATTTTTATTATTATTTTGGAGGGGGTGGGTTTCCCCATGCACTGTGATCATTTGTTGATCTATTGTGCGTCCCCCTTTAATTATTCTACTAGTCGCCATGCCCTTCCAGTACTGGTGCTCACTATCAGCCCGTTCGGCCAGCGAGGTCGCCCCTCTCTGGCAGTGGTCCCCAATACTTCCCCATCTGCCGGAGGAATTGGAAACTACTTGGGTGGGAAACTTTATGCCTAATTTTGCTCAGAGGTCTCCTAGAGACATGAGGATCTTTTATGTGCCGTAAATTTACAAAACAGAACACCTGGCTTAAAGTTCCTCTTGGAGGACTTGTTCCCTGAATTTTTCCACCCTTAAAAATTCCACAACCTCCGTCGGGTTTGAATCCGTGTACCTTGAGTCATGAGGTGGGAATGTTACCCCTAGACTATAAAGAAGAATAACATTAATGAGGATGATGATGCAGTGTTCTTATATTTCAGTTTTTTATTGTTGTGGGAGGAAAGAGTGAAATCATGACTGGTGCTCAGGTTTACCATATTGCCACTTAGCAACTTGACTGTTTTAAAATTTGTAAGTATATGGATATTTAAGGTCCATTTTATAATGATCATATTACTTATAATTTCAGGTGGTGTGGGACTGGTATATGTTGGTCAGCCTTTAGACACTATTAAAGTGAAGATGCAGACATTTCCAAACCTGTACCGGGGGATGGTCGACTGCTTTCGACAAACCCTAATGAAAGAGGGAATCACCAAAGGACTGTATGCTGGAACACTTCCAGCTGTTGTTGCTAATGTGGCTGAGAATTCTGTATTGTTTGCCGCATATGGAACATGCCAGAAAGCTATGATGATGATGACAAGAAAGGAGGTCCATACATAGAAATAATACATAGTCTGAAGACTACTATATTCTGGGATGTACCACTGTGTAGTCCAGTAGAGGGCCCGACATTTTAGAGGAATATCAGTAGAATTTGGCAGAGTATACATTGCTAGCTCCCAGAAGATAACATGCTTCACAGTCACTGCTGTGAGAAACTCAGATCAACAATACAGAATCCTTTCATTTAATTTGTGAACTGTACCTACACTGCTGTTAAGAATTACTTTGACTCCTTTTAAGTACTCTTTATGTTTGGTCATCACCTTCTTTACTTACTCCTTGGCCCTATGGTCCAGTAAGAACCTTGGTCTGCTGTATAACAGATGCCCATTCTTCTCTGTTATTTGCTTTTAGCCTCTCTCAGTTCACTTCCAATATACATAAATCATTTTGTATGTTCCAGAATGCCTGTTCCAAATAAACGTAACTTAAAATGAAGTAACTTCATTTTATCAGTAATAATACTTCTTATCTGATCAGTTGTCAATATTATTATCCATATTACTTATCACCATTATTTTATATTGTATATTGATTACTGTGATACTGTGTAAACTTTTCAGATTGTTTTATATTGCAAACATATTGACAACTGCTTGATTTATAAGCAAGATGAGTTCATACAACTTGACGATTTCTATATCTGTTCGGTTGTTTAAACCATGTAAGGATTTTATGGAATGTGAATAAATGAATGAATGAATGAAAACATTCCAAGTAGCAAGATATAACTCCCCATCGTTATAACCATTTTCTTAAATTTTCTATCTGGCATCTATTGTTAGGTTTCTTAACATGTTGCTTTAAGAGATGAGGTGTTAGCCTCACACCCAACTCTCATAACCTGGAGGACCAGGGGCTACCTTTTTTCTGGCCCCTACATCTTGATGCTAACAAGAGTTTATGTCCCTGCTAGCATGTCTGTCAAACCTCCCAGCCACATTATGTTAGTAACCTAAGAGGAGGAATCACTTTAATTATTAATATTCTTGAAATACAAATGTGTATTATGTTTCTAGAGTTGACAGAATATTTATTTGGTTATTCAAAACTGGTTGTCATTATTATTATTACTGTTGTTTTTTTAATTCTTGTTACAGTTAATTAAAAAATAATTATATATATCTGATCACAGACTGCAGGCCTAAAGCTACTATAATCTTGAAGGCGAGAACATTTTTTATCTTCCTCTTTGCATCCGACAATAGCCTTTCAAAGACTTCTTTACCTGCCTGAAGCTTCTTCATGCTTCACATTAATAGATGAATGTAAATAAAATAAAATGGATCATACTGCTACAGGGTTGCTACATGTCTGTCTTGCCTGTCTACACCAGCTGGCCTCTCCTGGACTACAGCTCTTCATACATTCTTTTCGAATTAGCTGATTCTCAGTCAGGTTTCTCACTGAACAGCTGCATATCCCATGTCAGATATTTGCCAATCACAGCGAAGTTAATTGTGACTTGGAATGGTGTTCCCCACTGAAAATACTTTGTTTGCTGAAATTAATATTTCCTGCATCTTTGCTAAACACTACTCAGTGAATTTTCATAAATGGAAAATCATCTCCTGTCCATTACCACTGTTTGTTTGTTTGTTAATACTTCATAGCATGAACAGATAATCAGTCAGTTCAAAGATTCAACACTGCTATCATTAACTTAACACACTGTGAGTGATTAAATGTCACATTAAAGTTTTGGGCCTAGCAGTCATAGGTAGACATGTATGAATGAATGTATAAGGGGTGGGCCTTCTCGGCCCTTGCACCGCGACCTACAGTGAACATACAAACAGTTTCAATTGGAAAAACAAACATGTCAAATAATACTTCAAAATTGAGATATATTTTGATTCCTCAAAGATTATTCTATGATCTGTGAAGTTTTTATGTAAATTTGACATACAAAATGTGTTTAGCTATAATGTGAGCTTTTGTTGATGATAATAGAATATGCTGACTTAAGAGACAGTTACACATCTTTGACAATGAATAAGTTGAACATTTAAGCTGGCACTGATCTCTTGAATGAAATAAGAACTTGCATATAGTCTTACAGTTCCAGCTTATGGTAATTGCTACTTTTCAGAAAGTGGAAGACTTGAGCACCTTGGCCAATGCTTCAGCAGGTTTCTTTGCTGCATTCTTTTCATCTTTCACACTGTGCCCTACAGAGCTCATCAAGTGCCAGCTGCAAGCCATGAGAGAAGTGCAGATGCAGTCTATCACCAATGGTGGCCATCATCAGCTGGTTGGTATCACTTCTTAATAACATTTTTCTTATAACTTCTTTATTAAGACCATCACAACAGAACCACATCAAGGTCAGTGGCTGGTCGTTGTTTACGTTCCCTATAGAATGGACAATACTTTGTAAGATGAGGCACCGACAAAATAATTAACATTAATATTACTACATCTACATCACGAGCCTCCACTAACAGTTTTTATACACAAAATATAGAATACTCTAATTTTTCCTTGGGAATGAAACAAAATCATAAAAACCAACAACTGACTCAATGATGTAAAGCATCAATTGAAGAATTTTATTCTTGTTTTATACTATAACTTTTGTTTTATATAACCTGTTTGTTGTATTTTTACATCAAGTATTTTAACATAATATTATTGTATCCAATTTTATTAATACTGCAGTTCAGTGGTGTATATATGTTAGCCATGTATTTGCCTGATGATATAGCTGAAACATGTAGCAGAACCAAAACCAGGCACTGATCTTGATATAGTTGTGTTGTGACAGTCTTAATAAAGAAGTTATATATTATAACACAACAGGATGCATGAAATGAAAAACATTTTTCTTATTTTAAAGCATACTACACATTGAACTTAGTGTGCTTCTTATGTGTGTAAGAACAAAGAGAACTGCAGGTTATGTTGATATTTGGTCAAGAACAAATATGTGAAATGCTTATTACAATTTTAATTCAGAACCCATTTTTTAAGGAAAAAACTTCCTTTGTCCATAACCAGCCAAGTGCCCTATCAGAGATGTCAGCAACTTGGCTACCAGTCATGTGATATGAAGTCACCCAAGTGTCCATGGTTAGAAGCCAACATCTAATTATGTGATTCATTATTATTAAAGCTATTTTCCAAAACACTTAATATTAACATGCACACACATGCGAAGCATATCAGAAAGTTCCCAGACTAGATCAAAAAACAAATGCTGGATTAACTTACTGAATTTTGAGTGCCATTTCCTTCAAAATAGTTTCCTTGGAAACATATATACACTGATCCCACCATTTTTACACACTTCAAAAGCACTGTGGAAGTAATTTTCCTTAATGCTGTTGAGTACAGCTTGCAATTCCCTGGATGTCAGACACTGTTTCAAAACATCGTCCCTTCAGTTTCATTTTCTATTTGGGAATCAAATGAAATCATGGGGCTAAGTCTGGCTAGTACGGAAGATGGGGAATGATAACCACGTTGTTAGTCACAAACTCTGTGGTTTTCAGGGATGTGTGGGTGGGCACGTCATGATGGAGCAGCAATGTGGTGCATGTTTAGATTTTCTGTTAAGATCTCCTGGCAAACTCCATAACTTATCCCAGCAGTGTCTGCAAGCTCACCGGTTGTTCAGCAACGGTCTTCATTGATAAGTTCTAAAAAATTTTCAACATTTTCTGTCATTTTGCTGGTGTCTGTCATCTTCAACTGACACTCAACTGGCCTTGAAACATGAACGTCATTCAAAAACCACGGTCGAGCTTAAAGAATGTTCTCCAAAAGCCTCATGAGACATTTCAAGGTTGTTGGTAGCAGATTTACCAAGCTTCACACAAAACTTGATGCAGACATGATGCTTGATTTTGCCATCTATCACAGACAAAATGAAACATGAAGTCAAAAAGTACTCGTGTAAAAACAATGCATGTTCGCAGCGCAGTGTCACATGGCAGATTGATGGAATAGGCTTACGGAAGTGAGACCTGGCCTCCCCTCATTTTTTTCACCTAGGCAGTTAATGATAACAGTCCGGGAACTTTCCAGTACCACCTCGTATGCATGGGTGCTTATATATATATAAAAACCGAATTTGTTTGTATAGTTATGAAACATGCTATCTTATTTTGAGGAAAGAATATGAGCTACAGGAATATGAAAAGCAAGTACTCAGGAAAACACTTGGCCTAAGAGGGATAAAGTAGCTAGAGACTCTGTATTATATAATGAGGAACTTCATGATTCATAAAAGCCTCTTAAAAGAGTAAGGATACTAAAATCTATGAAGCTGTGATGAGCTAGGAATGTAGCTAGTATGAGAGAGACAAGAAACACAAATATGTGGTGGCGAAAGATTTTGGGAAACAAACATGGAATACTAAGGATATATTAGGAAGCCATTAAGATGATTTTAGGCAGAACAGGTTGTGAGGAAGGGTAGTGGCTTGGAACTGGAACAAAATATCATTTCCAATGTTATGTTTTTAAGAATAGTTCTGCATATTGCAGAAGTTAAAAAAAATCCCACAAATTTTCAGTTTTAATCTTAACCACTAGCTCTCTCTCCATGAGTGTTATGTGATTTTCACTTCCTTCAATAGGTGATTTCAGCATAACCGATTTTTCACTTTATTTACAGATTGGCCCATGGAAACTCACACAGAAGATAATCCAGCAAGAAGGAGTCCAAGGCTTGTTCCGAGGATTAGGAACAACAATAGCTCGTGAAATGCCAGGATACTTTTTCTTTTTTGGTGGTTATGAGGCCACTCGTGGTCTGCTTACACCAGTAGGAAAAACAAAAGATGAAATTGGTATGAAACTATATATATTTTATGATTACTTATCATTTTATTTTATTTAAAAGTGGAAACTGAGAATATTTATTGTACTGCTCCAGAACAAAAATTTTAATCTACCACATTCAGACCAGACCCACGGAAGAAACCGTTTCACGTATCTGTAGCAAGTGGAGGGTTATTAATCCCCATTTTGAGAAATTCCTGCCACACAGACCTTCCAAGGTCCAGAGTGCAAGTTTAATTTCAGTTCATGAACTACAGGGATGATCCTTGCATAAAACTGTGTTGTTATTAGTGATAGTCTAGAACCAATCGGAGAGATTTATGTTCAGCTCCTGAAGGATGTCCCACACCAAGCAATATTTTGATGCAGCAGTGGAGAAAGTGTGGCTGTAGAGGGGGGGGGGGGTTAATTTTATATTCACAGAATACATTAAAGTGTTCAGAGGGACTGTGAAAGAGATATGGATTGACATTTATATAATTAAGGATTGCCGTGGCCCAGTGTATATAAGTTTCCTTGCAGTACCCTAGATATCTAAGTAATTCATAATCGTAAGATTTGAGGCTTTCATGGCGGTGACTATGAAGAAAGCAGTCTTCTGGGATTTGGCACCGTGTATATGTGGTGTTAACCGACGTTTCGGAGGAACGTATCGCCTCCATCTTCAGGGTAGAAGAAAAAATATAAGAAATCTGCAAGCGAAGAGACCGTGAGAACCGGTAAAAGCAGACACAGTCATCTTACCATCTGATGCTGCATAACCCATCCAGTTAAAATTAGTGCTAAATAATCAAAGAACCAATCAGTGAACCTAACAATACTGTGTGACCTGCAAGAATCATTATTAAATTTTTTCTATGTAATATCCATAATATCCATTAATTGCATCCCTCTTGGATCCAGATATTTTCCTAAGCATTTTGTTTTCAAACACTTGTATACTGTTCTTCTCCAAAGGAACTGATTTTCTCTGAAATGGTGTTACCTTCACTTGCACTGAAACCATATTTCCTGCAGGTCCACTGTGTACAATGATATCTGGTGCTGTTGGAGGAATTGTGTTTTGGATTGTAATCTTCCCTGCAGATGTTGTGAAGTCTCGGATACAGGTATCAAGATTGTCTGGTTCCCTGTTATCCATTATGCTGCAGATATTCAGGCAGGAAGGTAAGAATTTCACACAAATAATTAGTAACAGACATCAAATTTTCATACAAGTTCAAAGCCCATATTTGGAATCCTCTTGATGCATTTTACATCCTAAGTCCCAAAGAACTTAGTCTTCTAAGGTCTTATAAGGTAAGGAACCTCATGCCTAAACATCATATCATGAAATAATATAGACTGATTCTCCAGATATGATCTGAGTTTGTCTAGTTGTGGTTGCAGTGAGTCAAGAATCCCTGCCAGGAATCAAAACCTGGCCATCCAGCTTGTAGGCAGTTGCTTGTGATTTTGCTATCCTGGCCCACATGACAGAGAAAAAAATTACAGAAAACATTTATATGTTTAGAGTAACTTTCAGCTCTCTTCTCATTGACTTTTATTTAAATATTCTTGTATTTTCTAGGCTATCAGGCCCTCTATAGTGGATTGCAACCTACGCTAGTCAGAACGATTCCAGCAACTGCAACACTGTTTCTGTTGTATGAAACAACAAAGAAAGTCCTGCATAAACTTTGTGATTGATGACTGTTGTTAAATCTATCATTGGGAATTGTATGAAGTGTTCTGTTTACTGTACCTTAACTTGACTACCATGTGGGCACTTTTCCCACACACACATCTCATGACAAATTCCAGTTTATCCCAAAGTGGTGTGGAATTTTAACAGATCATAATTTATTTCCATAATTCTCTTTATATGCAATCCATACATCATTCTTTCAGAAATGAATATTATGTAAAATGAATTCTTTAAGTGCTATGAACAGGAAATGCAAAGAAAGTGCATTGTTCTTTCAATATCAGAAAAAACAGAGAGTTGGAGCATCAGTTATTTGTGCTGAGAAATTTCATGTGAGCATATGTACATATAAATTTAATATATCCATACAAATTATGTTTCAAAGGTAAATAAGTTTTGACAGCTGTTACTATAATTTGGAGTAAATGCATTTTTCAAACACTCTCTTTGCAGTAATGCTTAGACAGTGATGATAATTTACTGCAGACATACACAGCACTGTCCAAATTATTTTTCCACATACATATCAATAGACAAGGAGAATGAGATAAGTGAGTCATGTAGCATGCATGAAGGAAGAGGCCGCTTGGGAAACCAGGGCATAGATGGAAGGATGATATTAAAGTGGATCTTAAAAATGTAAGATGCGAGTGGACTGGATTATCTGGCCGAGGAAAGGTTTCAGGCCTGGGTTCTTATAAACATGGTAATGATCCTTCAGGGTCCATAAAGTCCAGCAATTTCTTGGGCAGCAGAGTAACTGTATAGCTGTTTCACCTAATGCAGTCCAGATTTAAAAAGAGAATGTTTCAAATGAAAGTTGTAGTCAGTAATGAGATCTGTTTTGCATTGTGTACACTCAGCTGTGCCTAAAAAAAATAAATTAAGTTTGATTTGAGCTTCAAGTAGACTAGGTAATACATTAAATCCCTCAAGTAGTTTTGGACCTGAAACCTATCACAATATTGGCTTGATGTAGTGGTAACGTTCTAGACTTGTATTCTGGAGGTGCTCGATTTGAATCTCGGTCCAGACACCTGCTATCATGATAGGTTTTTCATCATTTTCCTCAGTCCTTTCAGGTAAGTGCTGGGATACTACTACCTCAATTGGGCAATGACTGTTTCCTTCCAAGTCAACACCCATCATTCTACCAATCAACACTAGACAGTCTTGTTAAAGTCTACAAAAAAAAACATATCTCTGGACAAATGAACTACACCATTATGCATTAATTTTATGCACTTCTACAACCACATAAGTTCAGAAACGTGTGAATAGCATAACAACTGTGATATGTTCACTCCAGCTTAATTATCTTGCAAACTATAAAACTTCTGGAAAAACTGCACTCAGGATAAAATATCTCATGTTTCCTTACTACTTAGCTTGAAATATTTTTTACTGTGATAAATATTAAATGAGTTGCATGTGAGTTATGCTTGAAATGTGTACAGAAAACATGTGGGGTCTTGTAAAGTGTCTCTTTTTATTACTCCTTTTTTAATAAGTTTTTCAAAGGGATGTTCAGAGCAGCTCAGTGTTATTAAGTGAGCTGTGATATTTGATACCAAAGGCAAATATGATGTGCAATAAGAAGTTTGAGAACCACTACTGTATGTGACATCTTGAGGTAGTAGGAGAAATGTATGAAAATGTTAAACCAGTTTTACACCTCATAATTGTTAATTAACAGGGACCAATACTTATGAAATTATGTAAAATGCATAATGGAATTGATTAAATTTTTTGTACTGTTACTAAACTGTCATGTTGATTCAATTTCCCAGTTATCTTCACTTAGGAGAGAAAATCTGTATTCTTTTCTGTCCTCTGTGAGTAATTTTAATGTATGTGTCCATCTGATGCTCAGTTATACACCTTCATTTATTAAAGGAATTCTGTTGTCACCTCCATATGTAAGACTTGTCCGTACCATTGTATAATGTGACCAACTCATATCTGTGTTATGGTTTCATATTTTATTCCAGCTTCTTGACAACTAAATACAAGAACTCTGTGTTAGGAATGTTAATGTCACATATTAGAGGCCTAGGGCCATTTTGGCAAAACATTCCTAACACTTGGTCTTGATTTTTATAATGAGAACCTGATGTTAGGAATTTTAACAATGTAATGTATTAGGGGGCTGGAGCTGGGACAGCAGTTGGTATAGTGATTGGCTACGGGCTGGACAACTGAGGGGTCAAGAATTTTCTCTTCTCCATGTCGACCAGACCAGCTCTGGGGTCCACCTAACCTCCTATCCAATGGGTACTGGGGGGCTCTTTTCTCAGGAGTAAAGTGGCCTGGGCGTGAAGCTGACCACTCACCTCCAGCTAGCGCCACGGTCAAGAACATGTGGATCTATACATCCACTCCCCTGTACACCTTTATGGCACAGTGCTTAATTAGATAAGCACAGGAACAACTTTATCTTTATTATGGGGCTAGGTTCATTTTAGCAAAATATCCCCCAACCTGGAGAGCCAGGTCCCCATATTTATATCCTCCAGGAACAGGGTGGCCTGGTTACATCCTTAAGCACCAGGCTCTTTTTCGTCACCTCTTATGACTCACAGGGCTATGATGGAGGTATTCGACCCTACTTCCACACAGTCTCAAGAGTCCTGTCGCCAAGATGAACTGATTGGTGGTAAACCGCAAGTCGTAAAGTAACTCTGACACTCATATGAGCTCCGCAATTTGCACACAGCTTTCAACCTTCCTTATCGTATAAGACAAGGCAAAGCCAGACACAGAAAATTAAGTGGCTTAAATGTGGTGGTAGTCAAATGACTAAGCTGCCATTGTAGAATAAGATAGGCATGATCCACTTCACAAAGCCTGTACTGACAGAGGACTTGTATGTAGTGCAAAAGAAAGAATTTTCAATAACATACTATAAGTGTGACATGTACACTTGACAAGGCCAAGCATATTCATAAGAGAGAAACTTATCTTATCAGAGAGGGGGAGCACATGGTAGCATAGCTGGTAGAGGCACTACACTACAAGCCAGAAGGTCTCGGGTTCCAGTCCTGATGAGGTGGATTTTTTCAAGTTACCTAATCCTCCCAGCTGCACTATGGCCCTGGGGTTGACTAGAACTCTCGACAGAAATGAGTACCAGGAATCTTCCTGGGGGGGTAAAGGGCGGGTGGCGCATAAGGCTGACAACCTTACCGCTATATGTGAGCCGACTACAGAAAATGTGGGAGCCTCAACATCTCACAACCCTGTGGGCCTTCACGGCCTGTTACAGTAATAGCTTTACATTTTTCTTACCTTTACCTCATCAGAGAGGATGTTACATAAGGACTATTATTTGCAAGTGTTCAGTTGAAAAACAATATTCAGAAAAATCAGTGTAAAATCATTATCTGAGTTGTCTGATGCAAACTGTACTTCAGATCAGAATCAAAAACCAACTCTTCTATTTTGTTTGCACTGATATCACATGGACATTTTGCCATGGAGGTTGCAGTGGGACTACTGATCTGTTTAGAATGAAAGTCCATATGGCATCAGTTTTACATGAAATATTCACAGCTGTACGCACGGAGATGTACAAAACACATGATGCATCAAGAGTATCCAAGTATTGGACACAGTCCTGTCTTCTGGGATATGACACCATGCAGTCCATTGAAAGTCAACTGACATTTCAGAGGAACATATCACTGGTTTCTTGTTTGGCTTACTCTTGGACCATGAAGATGGAGGTGACACGTTACTCTGAAACATTGGTTGACTTTCAATATAATACACATTGTTACATGCCAGAAGACAGGACTCTCCATAAACACTGCTCTGAGAACTGCAATCATACAAAACTGAAGGCATTTTACTGTGTTGCTAGCAGCCTAAGTACTGGCAGAGATGGATCAACCTGAAGTCTGTAAGCTCCAAACCATCAAAATTAAGTCACCAGCTCACAGTGGTATGTCTCAGAAGTAATATAGTATGGCACACATCAAGCAGAATTGATTTGTGTGCCCTCAAACAAGCAGTTTCTTTAGTAATATCATGCAGTTGGTACACTAACTGCCTGTCCACATTAAAGCACAGATTCACTAGTTAGTAAACTAATGGCTCATCCTGATTAAGGCTTAAACCTGTGGTTACTATACTAACTGTGAGTACAGAAAGGGTTAAACAAAATTAGTGCTACTTTTACCACTTGTGAAATAATTTATTCCAACTTGCTTATACTTCTCATAATTACACCATTCTACCACTGATTAATTATAATCTCCAGGGCTCGATAAACATACTTCTGCACTCGCCTGTGACAGATAAAAAATGATGTCCCACAAGTGGATAAGTCTTTGAATTTATTTGCTAATATTACCTTTGTTATTTCTCCACATCATATGGTAAATATGGGTGGGAATGAGGGTCACTGCTGTGTCTTAATGTCAGATGTAGAGAAGAGATCAGAATGAAACACAATTTTAATGACCTGGGCAGGCACAGTTTCTCTTGTGGATAAATGTCTGATGAGCAGAATTTCTGCATGACTGGTGAACTAAGCAAACACCTGTTGACTCCTGGTTATCTCCCCTCCTTACTTCTATATAGATGGAAGAACCACTGTCTGGAGAAAATAATAACCTCAGTCAATACAACATAACTCAGAAATCAATCCACACCAAAAATAACATGATATTTATATACAAGCTCAGTCACCCACTCTTGTTGCCAATATCACAGCACAATTCATCTCACAGTACAGGACACCTCTTCTTTAAATTCTTCCCAAATCTTCTTTGCTAGATACCTTTCTTGTTCCTCTACAGAGAGTTCTCTCCATTCAAACCATGGAACCTGAAAATACATAAATATGATATACCACACATTCAACTGAAGACTAATTTTATCTGTGCTGTAAAGGGACCACGAACTGAAGTCATTCGAGAAATGTAACTTACAATTACAGGTTTGTAACCCAACAGCTGTAGTTGTCGTAACTTGGAAGACATGGTACCCACAGGTTTGTTTAGTATTCTGATGTAAGAATTCCATCCAGCAACTACAATACAGTACCATTTTGTATTTGGAACATCTGGAGCCCTTTTGCAAGTTCCAATCTCCAGATTGCAGAATGAAGGTGGAATATCAACAGCTGAACCATCAGCACAAATACCATACACAATGTCTGTAAACAAAGTGAAGGTGAGAAATACCAGAAACCAAATTCACTCTAGCTATATCATGCTTTACAATTCCATACACCTGTACACGNGGGGGGGGGGGAAAATCAGTCAGTATAGTGACTATGGATAAGGATTTTTTTTCTTCATGTTCTTGAGTGGCTTTGAAGCCCACCCAGCCTCCTGTCCAAAAGACACCAGGGGTTCTTTCCCTTGGGATAATGCATTCAGAGTGTGAAGGTGACCACTCACTTTCATCATGTAATATGGTATGTTGCAGTTTCAGGATGTAATGCCAGAGATTTAGTATGCACAAACACATTTCACAGAGTTGAACATACCTGCTCGTTCTCGATGTGGAATAAGATGTCCTAAGTGCACCTTTCTACGACCACCAAGAACTGAAATGGCTACAGAAATGACTTCAAACAGAAGCTGATCTGTTGCATTTAGTTTCTTCCTAGTCAAATCTTCATATTTCCAGACTCTGTCAGTGTATATCTAAAGAGATAAATCTAATTTGTGTATGTTAATTAAACAATATGCAATAATGATCCAAATGTGCATCATCCTAGCATTTAACCTGTGTCTAAAATATCTTTGAGACTGCTGTCATCATGAGTTAGTGACATATCTCATTATGTCATTATTAGAAATTTACTATGATATACAATGATATACATAATATATTATTCATATATTCATACATTAATTATTAGCCCCTAATGTGGCAGCACATATTTATGAAATGGCAGACAAAGTATCTTCTTTTATCGGAATGCATGATTCAAAATAGTCAAATGATGAAAAATTAACAGTTGTACTTTTGGCATAATCTTAGGTGTTGAAAGAATCCTCAACTATCTCTTCTGCAGTTAATGATGTTTTCTCAACTTCAATGGTACCAAATGCATGGCATGGATTCAAATGCAAAGTGTTTACGTTATGTCCATAACAGAAAGCTTCCATTTCTTTCTCAAATAACAATAGGTGATTAGATATAACTTAGGATCCAGCTATCATAAAATATAAGACTTGGACTGAATCATCAGAAACATGAACTATATCTGTTGCTGTACTTCTTTTGGACTTCATCCATTGTCTGGTATGTAAAAGACAAAAGACCGCGATGTTTCAGAGACTGGATCTGTCTCCATCACTGGTCCAGTGATCGAGACTAGCTCTTTCTAATGGGCCCAACTGAGTAGGTTCATCCTTCCCTACCCACCTGAAGACGGAGACAGATCCAGTCTCCGAAACGTCGTGGTCTTTTGTATTTTATATACCAGACGATGGATGAAGTCCAAAAGAAGTACAGTATACACCATCATCAGAATCCTTTCAAATCTATATCTGTTGCTGTTACTCCCAAATTTTTATTAGACAAATTCTGTGAGTGCAAGTGATAAATTCTCTCAGCCACAGGTGAAGCACCCATATCCTGTATTAGAAAATGCCGGTGGTCAGAGAAAAACAGCAATCCCCTAATATACATGACACGGCTTAACTACTATTCCATCGAATCTCCCACCTCGTACAGCATGAAGTGTATAAAATCAATGCACAAAGTGAAGGTCATAACATGTCTATCAATCTCTCCTTCTACTAACATGTTTCACTTCCAGAACTACTAATGATATGCATGCTGGAATGAAGAGCTCTCCCAATGCTTAATTAAGCACCATGGCATGAAGATATATGGGAGAGTGGAGGTATAGCTCCACCATATGGCCGTGCCATAGCTCAAGCAGTTAGTCACTGGCTTCCCACTGCAGCGGCCCGGGTTCGATCCCAGGTCTGGTCAAGTGGGATTTGTGGTGGAGAAAGTGGCGCTGGGGCAGGTTTTCTCCAAGTACTTTGGTTTCCCCTGCCAATCTTCATTCCACCAATTGCTCCACAATCACCCTCACCTATCATCTGGGGCTGATACAATAGGCCAGAAATGGCTGCAGTACAAGGGACTCAGTCCCACCCCACTAGCAATAAAAAAATAATAAAAATAGCTCCACCATTCTTGGCCTCCGCACTAGATGGAGATGAGTGGTCAGCTTCACACCCCTGGTACCCATCTGACAGGAGCTCAGATGGACCCCAGAGCCAGTCTGGATGCTGCAGAGAAGAGAAAAACCTCCTGCCAGGATTTGAACCCCAGCTGACCAGCCCAAAGCCCACTGGTATACCAACTGAGATATTCCAGGTGATACAACAGACGTCAAACAAATGTATATTTTGTTGATATGAGCATAGCTCTCCCTGTTCTTAATTACACACCATGCCCTGAGAGCATGGGTAGGTGGAAGGGTATAGTCCCATGCAGTTTCAATCTTGGACATCAGACAGAGATGGTCAACTACAAGCACTGGCTACTTTACATATGGGGAAAGTTTCCCATACCTATTATATAAAATGCTGAGTGGTTCCCAAAGCCAGCATGAACACAACAAGAGAGAAAAATTTATGCCCCTACCAGGAATCAAACTCCAACTGTCAGGCTCACAGTCTAGTTTCTGTATTTACTGAGCTACCCTGGCTTCTCATATTCATCTAACATATGGAACTGAAGTTCTCTCTTCCATTCTTTTTATCAAGAACTATCCCCTTCCCAACCTCAGCACAGATACCTTTATATATATAGACACACACACATAGAAGAAACAGCGAGGATTCTTACTTTCATGACAGGTTCCATGGCTCTGCACTACACAGTGAACTTGCTGCGAGGCATATATGAATTTTGCCAGTGAATCACCATGCCTGACAGCTGATAATTCAGAATGAATTAGTTACAATTCCCAGATCACAGAAGGTGTTAAAAATTCTGTCCCTCTACACACAGATCTCTCACAATTAATTGTTTCAATAAAGAACACAGGTACAACAATCCTTGCACTTACAGCACACCAGACACTAACTTTGACTGGATGCAGCAGGTCTTCATGGGTTAGATATGGATTCTGTGAACTCCAGTAGTGATTATTTTATGTATTTATGTATTCCTGCAAGTGAAACCACACTTCATCATAAAAGAATGTCAACTGTGGGCCGATCTCGCCTTCGATGACATACAGTACAAACCAATTGAAAAAATGAACCCTGCTAGCTTGATGACACAGCTGCAAGGCTTTGATTACTATTGTTTTATAGGGTTTAAGCTTCAGCAATTGCATTGCCCTCCTTGCATTAGACTGTGACAGTCATCTCTTAAGCTAGACATTTCAGTGATTTTCTAGCTATAAGTTCAAGTCTCGCCCCTATGTCATCTAACCTCTCCTCAGTAAACACTCGGCACTTATGTTTTTGTTTCTTGTCTATCAAGATTCCCATTGTTCTTATTCACTAAACTGTGAATTGTTTGTCTGCTGGGAACTTTTTCATCATGAAGTTTTCGGCAACTAGCAGATCTGTATTTCACATGGATGTCATACAGAAATGCATGTTGCCCTAAAGCAAACCGCACCATGATGTACCACTCTGTTCACTAACTGTAAATGAGAAAAAATGGCTAATGGACCTGACAACTGTTGCCTACTGCTGACAAATTATAAACAAACTCCTAAGCACAAACCGCGCTGCTCGCAGTGTTTGAATGCTGTGAAGCGGTCCACAAGTTAATTACTTCCCTTCAATCCAAATGTTATTGGCCATCAGGCATGCTGACTCATCAGCAAAATTCATATGCACCTTGCAGCAAGCAGTGCACAAGTCATCGTGAACTGGTCAACAAAGTTTAAAAACACTCTGTAGTTCACCACAGTGCACTCTCATTTTTAGGAGTACATACTGGATTTCAGTCCTTCGATTTTTTAAAAAGTAAATAACTTACATCTTTGTATATCACAGTCCATCAATAATGTGACAATTGTTCCGTTTAATTTTATATCTCCAATTTCACCATTTAACACTTCACACAACATATTTCGCCCATAGATGGCCATCTTCAGGAGTCTCAATGTATCGAAACTGCTACACTCCTCTGATGTGCGCTAAAACCACGCTCTGAAGTCCACTCATAAGGGGTGTCATCCACTTGTTTAGAGCTATGTGATTTATTCCAGATATTTTACTTCAGCAGCTTGTCTGTTGTTTTGCTATGTCTACAATCTGTAATATGCTCCTTGCTTGTGTGCTGTTCCCTCTAGCAGCGCGTGGTGTCATCTTCACTGCGTACATCAGAGCAGTGTAGCAGTTTTGATACATTGAGACAACTGAAGGTGGCCATCTATGGCCAAAACATGTTGTGTCAAGCGTTAAAGGGTGAAATTGGAGGTATAAATTTAAACAGAACAACTGTTGTATTATTGACAGACTGTGATATACAAAGACGTTAATAATTAAAGATTTGCAACATGATGCTGAAATAGAGAATTACAAATAACTTACCTTTGCTAGATAATTTCTAAGTTTGGGTTCAAGTCGGTTTCCATTGTATTCAGGGCATTCTAATCCCACACCAATGTCCAAACTTAAGATTTCACGTCCAACCTTGTTATTATTTTTTCCTGAAAAATTGAACCAAATTACATAAAGCAAAGGAAGAGAGAATGCATCTACTTGGAGTCAGAATATACCCGTCATTAAAATGACTGACTATATAGACATATAGGGTTTGATTTCTGATAGAAGGGAAGATTTATTTCTTCACCACCACTTTATCCACACTGGCTTAGAGCCACATCTATCTGTACAATTAGTTCCATAACTCTTTCTCCAAAGGTAAAACAGCTGCAGTATAAAGCAGACTACATGACTGTACTCAGTGCTGAGGTTAAGAATGCACAGATAGGGTTAATGGGTTATGATACACATAAAATTACCATCAAGCATATTCATTTTCTTAATAAGTAATCTTAAAGTCCAACATCTTCCAACCTTAACTGCCCATCTCCAGGGGTTACTAACACTAAAGAACACTACATAATTTCCATAAAATATTTTTAAATATTTATTTAGATTTAATTGTAAATACTCACAATTAAAAATATTTCAAACATTAATAATACACTACATCAATGACAGACAGAGGCAGAAGCTTTTCATGCTGTTTTGTAGGTATACTGATGAATGTTATGTACACTAAGCTCATAATTGTCTTTAAAATGTCATTTAACAGCATCTTGCAGCATAACTGTAATGGTTCACAAGTGAAAATGCTCAACAAATTGAGAATTAGATTCAACTTAAATTACATAAATATTTTACAAAGGAGTTGGGATAGCTCAGCCTATGGGCTGGCCAGCCAGGGTTCAATTCTCAGCACAAGTAAGATTTTTCTCTTCTCCATAGCATCCATACTGCCAGTATATCCACAATGACTTCTATCAAATCAACAGGTTATTTTATGATTTCAGTACTGCACTCTATACAGAATTGGACTGGATCTGCAAGGAAGCAGTCATAGCCTAATTGAGGTATTAGCCTGGAATTTGCCAAGAGGGACCACAGGAAGCCACAGAAAATCTGTCAGGATACCTGGTATCGTGGCTAAAATTCAAACTCAGCATCTCCTTAATACAAGTCTATAGCATTACTATTAGACCAGCCCATTCATGAAGACTGGATTGCAAATAATATGTCTGATTTCCCTACATTCTTATGGCATGGTGTTTAAGCACATGGACAACTCTGGACCTAACTGGCCAATCAATTATATCTGTAACTGTGACAATGTACATTGCTGGAAATGATCTTCAATGTAATATAGTAAGAAACAAAGTACTAGAATCAAAGATGGAAAACTTAGGTGAACTGATGTAATGATCTACTCATAAACCATCTTTTTTCAAAGATATGAATTACATAAACATAATCAAAGCTAACATAAATAACATAAATTGAGAATAAGCATTTGCAACTTGACATACCATAGACGGTGTGAATGAAACTTTTATCCAACACTTTACTGATCTCTTCATTGAGGTAAATCTTTTGCAGGGAGAGATAATGGAGACAACATGATAAACATTTGGGATGCTGCTCGATTTCTTGAGCTCTTTCACTTCTACAGAGCTCTTTGGCAATCAACTTATAGATAGAAGGCTCCATTTTATGCTCATAGTTGTACAAGGACAGAGCAAATGCAAGCCTTTCTAAATCTTTCAGTCTAGAAGATTCAATTTCATTAACAAATCGCTGCACAATCTCATTCATTGTCCCTTCATGATACTGATTTATGTGTGTACCAAGTAATGCAATATGTGTGCAACAGAGCTGGGATACTCGGTTTATATTTGGCACAAGCTTGTCCATAAGAACAAACAATACATCTGCATGTGTTGGTTCAAGGGAGTAGCGGATAACTTTAAGAAGAGCAGCCAGTGTGATTTCATGGATGGTGTCCACTGAATTTATAATTCGTCTTATAAGTTCAGTAAGAAGAGTTTGACTCCTGATTGGTTTTTTGCTTTTAAAGAATCCCATGGCAAGAATTCCAAGATCATCCAAAGTAAGTTGATCGAGACAGTTTTGAAGGCTGTATTCAAAATCGTAAACTGATATATGAGGTGGAAATTTACGACGTATGTTTATGTAGAACATACACTGGACTAGCTGAGAACTGGTGAGTTTCTCTGGTCTACGACTTAATCTCACAGTACAATGCCACATAAAATCTGATATTTTCCCTAAATTAAGCAAGTACCAGTGATCAGCAACAAACAGAAGCTTATTACGATCCCACTTTTCCATTCTTAACACACACTGTTTGTCAACCTCCTTCCATAACTCAACATAGTTTTCAGAATATGGTTCTGCAGGTGAAGGCCATTGTCTGAGACACGCTAATATTCCTATCAGATCATTGTCATTTAACTGTGAACATTTTTGTGTCAGTGTTTTAAATATTCCCTCAAAAGTTTCACCGTTCACGGAATGCTGTTTTTTAGAAAACAGTATCATTTTTTTAAACCCAACAAAAACACTTTCTGCTGATTCACTGTTCCAATCTTTCCTTGTCATATTTTGAAATTCATCATCAGATATCTCTTCGGTTTCAACAAAACCTTTAGGAGCTAATGTGACTGTATACACGGGATTCCTTTCCAGCACGGCATGTGCATATGAATTTTCCGTAAACTCCTTTTTAACTGTCGATGAATTTGTGATTACAGTCTTAAACTGACCATAAACTTGGCAACTTAATAAATTCCCTAAAAAATTATTCTTAAGGGGAATATAAGTCTGAATGTTCAAGTAACTTCTTTCCCAGGCCATAGCCACATGATAACCTTTATGCGGATGCAAACGAGTGATAAGTCCAAACTTCCGGACTTTAATTTGTTGTACACAATATAACGTATTTGGCAATCGCAACAGAAAGTACTTCAACATTATAGAGTACAACAATTCTAAGTATTCATCTCATGTAAGAAGTATAAAATATAATTTCACGTGACACATACTTTCCTTTCCCTAACCACAATACAAAACAAAAATCACAATTTCCCCACCCAGCTTCCAGCACTGCCAATACTTATAACCAAATGTCACTACATACGCTTCGTTCCCAACCAGCCTGCAGCGCTGTCAATGGTTAAAAGAAAAATGTCACTATAACAATGCCTAAAATTTAAAATTTAAATTCGCTTAGTGGGGGGCGGAGGGCAGCTGGGTCCACTCGGCACGGCGGCCACTGATTGGCCTACTGTACCTGCCCCGGCTGATTATAATGATGGAGAATTTGGTGGAATGAAGACTGGCAGGGGAAACCGAAGTACTCGGGAAAAACCCGCCCCAGCGCCACTTTTTCCACCACAAATCCCACTTGACCAGACCCGGGATCGAACCCAAGTTGCCGCGGTGGGAAGCCAGCGACTAACCGCTTGAGCTATGGCGCGGCCTACATAACCGTGCCTATAACTATTACCGATGTAAAACAATCACCTCAGTACTTACGTACTACTACTATCTCTTAAGCTCGGCACGGCCTGGAGGCAAGGATCGCTGGAGGTAAGTGGTCAGGTTCACGCCCACGATCGCGCAGCCTTCAGGGAAAGGAAAAGAATGTTGAATAGTTCCTCGAACCGGCCTCGGTGAGGTGGATATTGAGGTACAAGAGTAAATATATGGTTGTCCCTGTGATTAATTCATTTAGCACTATGCCATTAGGACATATAGGGGAGTGGGGGTATAGCTCCACCATTCTTGACCTCAGTATTAGATGGAGCTTCACGCCAAGGACACTTTACCCATGAGGAAAGAGCCCCAGTACCCATTTGAGAGGGGGATGAGTGGGTCTCAGAGCAGGTCTGGATGCTTTGAATAAGAGAAAAATCTCTTGTCCTAGAGGAAATCGAGCCCCGGCAGTCCAGAACGCAGCTCGTCGCTAAACTGACTGAGCTATCCCGCTGCTGTTAATTTTGTTCAGACGATGCAGAAAGTATAAGAAGCTTAAACTTGGCGACAGTCGGGACGACTGTTTTCAAGTGACTAAGCTGCAGTTGTAGCATAAGCTACGTAAGAAAAGGCATAATCTGATACACAAAACTTTCTATATATTTTCATATGTAGTATGTACTGTATATACAGATATATTACTTCGGCATTTATGGAGCTGCACAAGATTGTAAATGTAAAACTATACAGTGACAATGACTCAGACACAGAGAAGATAAACAACAGGTCCGTCCTCTGATCAAAGAGGTCATCCCACGGTGTCAAGTCCTGAAAAGTGCCCAAACAACTGTGAGCAATAATCTGGTCATGAACTTTAAAAAGTCTCGAGATGAAGCCGGAATGACCAACAGTCGGATTCAACGTCACTTGGACCTAGACTTGGACTTATTCTATGGTAAATATATAACATTTAATGACGAAATTTTTTATTACGTACTTTGTATCTCCTACAACAGATGAAGAAATAACAAATAAATATTATAGAATATTAACGGTTCACGAACTGCATTCCCCTGTTCATGTAAGAGAAACATGTACCGGAAGTTCGTTATTCCAGAGATGTTTATATATTACGATAGAAACTGGACACGATGTCTCTGCAATACCTATCTCGGTAAAGCAGAAGAATGACTAACGGAAATTTAACCACAACGAAAACACGGAACCACATCAACACTTAATGTAGACCTTCATTAAAAATTACCGATTCGTCCTCTGTCAGTATGACCAAATGTAAAAACAAATTTACCAAGCCCTGAAACAACCAACCCTATATCGCCTTATAAAATTATATTTGCTCTTGAAATGTGTAACAAATACATAATTTAAGGCCATAAAATATCATTACTGAAACCTTCTGAGCTACATATCAAGGGAATATATTAATTTTCGTTTTCTGAAGCAGTCAATGAGTTATGTGGCACATCCTGTAGCGCTTCTGACGTGTGTTCCGGATCTGCCCATTTCCAGTCCCGACGCTGACACCGACTATCTTAACTACAGATTTCTTACGGTTTTTCTCAGTCCCTCCAGACTACTGCCGGGATAGTACCTTCTTCACTCATTAACCATGTTATTTACCACCCGACGCAATATAGTCTGCGCTATTAAGTGTCATGAAACAAACCATTCATAAAAAATGGAACCCGTAAAGTGACTGGAAATCAGTGCCGAACGACATGGCCTCGATTCCTGGTAAGGGCGAGATCAGTTCCTTCAGATAGGCTAGGGGACCCGCCCATCCAGTACTTATGAAGGGAACTTCCAATGAATGTAAGAACCCGGTGCGTAAATTTGGCTTGTCCCCGCNTTGTCTCATTTTGGTCCGTCACACTATTAATTACAGAGTGGATAATTTTCAGTCCAGTGTGACATACAAGTTTACAACACTTCAGTCTTTATGCACCTTACATGTTTCGACTCAAAAGAATCATCCTCAGAGGCGCACCACTACGATAAGGAAACACTGTCACATAAGATGTTTTAAGAATATGCACTTAAGCTATGAATAATGCTCACTATATAAATTTTGTTGTTATCACAGTTGGTTTTGATGTTTGTCTTGGGCATTAAAATTGCGCTTCTTGAAGTGTAGATTTACGTATGATGCTGTTTCTTTTAAGCGTATTTGCTGGGTATTCTGATTGGGATTTTTTCTTGATTTTATGTTCTTACTATTAGTCGTGTAGTTTACGTGCCTGCTGTGTCCATTGTACAAACGACACAGCAGGCACGTAAACTACACGACTAATAATAAGAACATAAAATCAAGAGAAATAAACGACATCTCCCACCATCAGGAGGAAAACAACATGACCCACGGTCGGCTCACGATATTTTAACATAATAACTAATATTTTACATGCAAAAGAAAATGTTAATACAATTTTAAATACATTGGGAGGCTATTGTATGAAAAAGTGGACATCATATTGCGTGCAGTGGAAAATCCCAATCAGAATACCCAGCAAATACGCTTAAAAGAAACAGCATCATACGTAAATCTACACTTCAAGAAGCGCCGCCGTGAATACCCAAGACAAACACCAAAACCAACCGCGATAATAACAAAATTTATATAGTGAGCATTATTCATAGCTTAAGTGCATATTCTTAAAACATCTTATGTGACAGTGTTTCCTTATCGTAGTGGTGCGCCTCTGAGGATGATTCTTTTGAGTCGAAACATGTAAGGTGCATAAAGACTGAAGTGTTGTAAACTTGTATGTCACACTGGACTGAAAATTATCCACTCTGTAATTAATAGTGTGACGGACCAAAATGAGACAAATCAAATTAGTAAAATGGATGGAGTTACACCTCCACTACCTCTACACGCCTTCAGCTCACAACTACTTTCGTCGTCGTCCTCAAATCATTTCATTTGATATTCGACACTACATAACAGGTGTGGTTGATAAAATGTCTTAAAATAAAAAAAAATACTTAAAGAGGTATTCAGTGCTTTATACAACCAAGTGTTCAGGGAGTTTCTCATGGCAATTTGGAGGCTGTGTAAAGCGAATGATTTTAGAATACTAATACTAATGAACCGTTGAAATCTCATATCAACGTCCCTTCATAGGCATCGAAACCACGGCATTACATGCGAATGTTGTGGAGTTCCTATTTCCTCTGCCCTAGTATGGTTCCCACGTGTGTTCCTCAGTTTATCGTGGAGTCCAGAATTCTGTCGATCGCTATGAAATGTTCAATGTTAAAATGTTAAAAATACTAACAGGCCAAAAATCTTGGGAAATAACATTGAAAAATATAACTTCTTTCTTTTTATTTTGTCACACTGTGACGCTCACACAGTAATCGGTATGTCACTTAGAAGGCCAAACACACTGAATATTTTCATGGCAGTCTTCTGGAGTATGACACCGTGCAGTCTGATAGGCGGATATCAACACATCACCTTTACTTACCGCCTGATTTTTGCTGGCTAATTCCGCGGCTAACTCTTCAACCCTGAAAGAGAACACAGTGTGTTCCTCCATCGATGAATTTCTGCGGACTACACGGTGTCACGTACCAGAAGATAATATTCTCCATAGTCATCACTGTGAGAAAAGAAGATCTAACATTCTTGATTATATGTAATTAAATTCCACGTTTCTACTGAGTCGTCAAAAGGTAAACATTGTCTACAATATTCGTCTATGGAGAACCAGGGTCCAATTTGCGACACCTTGGCCTTATATTTTACCTAGGACGAACATGATTGTTTAAGAATGAAGTGCATACACAGTCTTGGCTAATTTTAAATCTGCGGTGACAGCCTATGTGGTCTAGTGGTCAGACTTCTGGCTACAGATTCAGAGGTCTGCGTTCGATTCCAGGCGCTACCATATTTTCTGAGAAGTAGTGGGTCTACTCAGCCTCGTGAGGATAATTGAGGAGTATTTCAAGGATATATTGGCTCCGGTCTAGAAAACCGAGATTAACAGCCGTGGGGGTCCGTTTCGCTGACCACGTGACACTCTTTATCCGCAAAAGTTGGCACTGACTTCGCCGTCAAGAGGCGGTCGCTCGGTCAGTATAGTTCGCTTGCGGACTAGAGGCCACGGAGTTTGTTTTGTATGTTGTATGGTTTAACAAATGTTACTTCATCTGTTTCCAATGATAAAGAAAGCTCTAAAGGTCATAACTGTTGGTGTTGTGGAAACTATAAAAAGAGCCGGACTGACGTCAGTTGAGAGGCAAAAGTAAATTAAAAAGCATCATGTCCAAAAGAAGAAATGGGGAGAAGAAATATAGGTCCGTGCGTTTCTATCCGGACACTAATTGAACGTAAACAGTCATTCTCAAGCTCATGTCGCTTTATCCCTTTACCCACTGAATATGAGGCTGAGTAAATCCAAGTGCCTGGCTTGGAAAAAATTAAGAAGACAAAAATATTTTTTTTTCAGCAGCAATCGAGCCTTAGTTGTCCAGCTAGTGCACTGGCTGAGCTTTCCCAACTAACAAGGGCAATGGAGAAATCTTTCAACGACATTCTATCTCAGACTCCACAAGAACTAGGTACTTGACTGTGTACTATGTCCTACAAGAC